CGATTTTATATTAAAAAGATATTTTATTGCACGTTGCATGTTCTGATTAATTCATGTGACCTTTTTAAGGATAATAGCAGAAGGGACAAAGTGATCGAATAATAATACAAATAGTATAAAATGGAGTAAGTTCAGGATTCGAAGTTTAATGTTGCGAACAAAGTAAATTGGATTTGGTGATAATAATGGTCGGGTCAGGTCAAGTTTTATGTCGGTCTGATGTAATTTGAGATATCTTTTTTATTTAAATCCGATTTGACCTGAATTTAGGAAGATTTTATCTTATTCAAAGTCCAATTTAAATTTTAAGATAAATTTCACATTCAATTTAATTAGATATAAATACCAAAAATAATTATTTTTATTCAATAAAATAAGAATCTAATTGAAAAAGAATATAAAAAGAAGATATTGTAGTAATTATCTTTAAATATATAAACAAGAATTATATAATTGTTTCTAAATATATAAAAGAAAATTATATTACTATTCTGGATAGAGATTAGAGATTTTTTACTATAAATCTCATCGGATACATTTTCATTCTTTATAATATCTAGTATGAATTAATTTTTTTAAAATTGACTTTACTAAGTTGAATTGAATCAAAATATATCATATTCGAGTTAAATTAATATTTTTAGTTATATTAATCATCTTTATAAATGAGATTTTATAACATTCAATCAAGATTATATATAGTTCAGATATGATTAAACAAAAAAAGGTAATTATTGAACCTAAAAAAGTATAAATTATTGATTCATAGAAAATGACTCCTCAAATAAATTTAAGCACGAAACAAGTAATTTATGTGGTAAATGAATTATTGTCGTTCTTTGAGAACTCGAGTTTGAACACCGAGAATATCACTCAAATTGACTACTAATAAGAATCTGTTAAATCTTTCAAGTTCTTGACCGTTGTAAATTACAAAAACTTTCAACGGTTCAGATATCATCTCAAGAATCCACGTAAACAGCCAGGATGCAAAGGAAGACCATGCTTTATAGTTGTTACAAAAAGCACAAAATCAAAGCAAAAGAAGAGTCAAGCCAATCAGCAAAAGCCAAAGCAATAAAGCAAATGTCGTGCGTTGGATTTTTCTGAGATCCGTGCAACAATCAATCCAACGGCCACTAAACAATTCCCATCTCTATATAAACCCATCCTTCTCTTCTTCCTCGTACACAAACCAACGCGATTCCCATTGTTTGAATCCCTTTTAAGGCTTCAGCATATATTTACAACGGCAATGGCTCTTTCTTGTTTTCTCTCTTTAATTACACTCGCATTGCTTGTTTTCTCTGTTACAGCACAATCTCCGTCGCAGTCACCGGCGGCGTCGCCGAAGAAATCTCCGCCGTCCACTCCGACGCCATTCCCTTCACCGCCTAAAACATCCGTACCGTCTCCATCGAAAACTCCGGCGGCCATTACACCGTCTCCGGCTACTATCGAGTCACCTCCATCAACTCCTCTGTCTCCGGAAGCCGGTCCCGCGTCGACTTCCGAACCTCCTATCGGAGCTCCGGGACCTGCAGAGAACGGTGCCGTTTTGAACTTGAATAGTAGGTTTGGTGCTGCTGGATCCGTCGCGTTTGGATTGTTGATGGCCATTATTATACTGTAGAGATTTCGATATCCTCTTTCTACAGTCAATGAAGATCATACAAGTATAAATAAATTTTAGTATATGTACTTTTATCTCCTTTTTTTTTAGATTGGATTCTTCATATAATGTTAAATATATGAATTATGAGTATTGATTTTTCTTTTTTTGTTCGGAATTATTAGTTTTGATTCTCGTATTTAATTTTGTGGATGAATTTTATTATCATTATTACTATATATATTATCATTAATTTCGGTCATTTTTTTACAGAAGTAATTAATTTTAATTAAAATAAAAAGTATTTCAAATTACAACAAAAATTTACAACCAAAATCGTAAATTAAACACATATTTAAGAAAATTTTCTATAATCATCGAAACAAATCTAGTAGCTTAAGATCAAATAACGATCATACAATAAAAAATTAAATTTAACCAAGAAATTCGAATAAAGATAGATAAAAACAGATTTGATCGCATTGGTAAATGAATCACAAAAAGGGATCAAACTATTAAAAAACTACTGATAAATTATAAATCAGACTCGAGTGATGTGAAAAATTATTCTTGAACGTAAATCGATCTTTTTATTGATTAGTCAAAATCTTATTTAAGTTAATAAATTTTATTATAATTTAAATTTTATTTGATTTTTTTTCGAATCTAGTTTATAAAATTTGAGTTAAATTAAGTTGTCAAAGTTTTCATTTAATTTAATTATAAATATTTATAATATTACGATAATATTTTATTACAATTTAAACAATTTTTTATAATCATACGTGATACATATATATTTTTTTCTTTTTTGCTACTCAGAATATGGGGTTTTTCTGTATACGTGTTTATCGGCTTTAATGAATTGTATCGTAGTCATGGCGCACTCTTTTTCCTTTAATTAGGTTTAGGTAGGTATGACCGTGTTTTCTTTTTTGTATGTGTTTTCAGTAATATCATACAAAACTATATTTCAAAAAATATATATTCCTCCTTTTTTTCATACCGTGATATACTTATATCATATATAGTCGAGAAATTTGACTCAGATTTGAAAAATCAATTTACTAATTATTAAATTTTTTGAATTATTCGAGTTTTATTTTATAATTTGACTTGAATTTGAAATTTTTACGAGTTGGGTTTATAAAATTATGACTCGAAATCAATACAAATTAAATATTTTTGAACGAGTAAAATCGAAAAGATCAATTTTTTAAATATAATTAAATTTGGTCCAACTTATACGTGGGGGCATGGGTTCTATCCCGGAATGTGACACCAATTGCGTTATTCAATGTCGGTTACGTATATTAAAACCTCGAATCTTTCAGCTACGCCGTTGTAGTTCTTCTAAATTAATTGATGTGAACTATCAAAATCAAATTAATCCAAAATGTGCACTAATTTTCATAGTTAATTTTACTCGAGTGTAATGAATTTAGTATTCTCGATGATTAAAAAAACAATAGATAATACTAGTCAATAAAAACGTATCAAGTAGGGATGGTAACGAGTTAGGTTAGGGTTGGGTGTTTGTTCAGCCCAGGAATGGTAACGGGTCGGGTTCGGGGCGGGTTTTGTTCGCCCCGTCCCCGAACCCAAAATGAATCCCCATCCCCGACCCGATCCCCGTTGAGTTTTTTATCGGGGCGCCCCGTCGGGGATTTTTTTTGCCCCGTCCCTGAACCTGACCTAAAATATTATATTCAAACCCGAACTCAAAAATATTATATATATAATTACTATAAAATATATAAAATATAAAATATATAATTAATATAAAAATATTATATTATATATATATATAATCGGGGTGGGGTGGGGGTACCTTGCCCCATCCCCGAACCCGACCCGAAAAAATCTCTGATACCCGAACCGACCCGAACTTGACTTAATCTGCCATCCCTAGTTCAGCCCGACCCAATAAAAAAAATTTATAACCTCCACCCAATTTGACTCAATCTGGAAGAAAAATATATCCTCCACCGACTCTAATACGACCTGAATTTTTAAAGTATAAATCTGATCCGGCCGACCCGACAAAAAAAAGGATTTAATTAAAAAAATAATATTTTTAAGAAAATTATATTATTATTTTTGGATCGGATCACGTTGGAGTTTTTTCACCCTCTACCCAAACCCGACCCGACATCGCCCCTTAAAAAATCTGACCGAACCCGACTCAAAATTATTTTCGAAAAAATCCGATCCTATCGGATCGGGTCGAGTCAAAACTCATTAGATTCGGGTTAAATTGCTATCCCAGTGCCAAGTAACTTATGATATCATCCATGGGTAGGCAAAACATGTAGCATGTTGTTATTAGTTAGGATTGTCACTTTTTTTTTATTAAACTAAGGTGTTTACAAAGTAGTATATGTTCTAACTATTCTCAACTATTTGACAATGAACGCTCAATCCCCCTGTTACAGACGCTGGGGCTCGAACCCGTGACCTCTAGGAACAATAATGATTCCTTTAATTACTGAGGTAAGTTAGTTCGTGAAGAATTGCCACTTTTTTAAAGTCATTAGTTCCTAGATATACATATACTATACCAGAATGATAATTTAAGTACCATAACAAATTAGAAACAAAATTAGGTACGAAAGTAAGAAAAAAGTACAATTTAAGGACTATATCATGAATAAATATTAAATCTAATAACTTTTTATTCTCATTACCAACTAAAGACATCGAATAAAGCTAAATTTAATAACTTTATATTCATATTTACACGAATGATACAAGGAAATGCAATGTGACATCAAGAATATTCACCAATTGGTTAAAGCAATGCCTCCAAGCCATATAGGTCATGCGTTATTTCCCCAACCTATGCGTTTTACCCACAAAGATCAATAATTTCATATAAATATATAAAACATTAGGGGTCAAATTGTCTAACTTTAAAATTAATAGAAACCTACAAAAGTATTTAAACTGAAAAAATTGGGGGATGAGGCTTAGTTTATCTAATTCCAAAATTTAGAGGGACTCAAGAAATATTTTTTAAAAATGGGGGTCAGAAATTAATTTGATTAATTTCAATACTGATAAGGACCTAATATTAATTAAAACAGAAAATTTTAGGGGGAAAACTTAATTTAATTAAGGCTTAATACACTTTTTAGTGCCTAAAATATACCTCAAAATATGATTTGGTGTCTAAAGAATTTTTTTGCTAACAATAGGTACCTGATGTTTTTAACGTTACACTTTTAAGTGTCTGGACCGTGACGATAATTAAATTTGGTCGTTATCTGAACGTGCCACACATATAAAATTTCAAAAGTTATTTTATCTAAAAAAACTTAATATTATAATTAAAAAAACAAACGTCCCCTAACAAAAATTTACATCTTTCGCCGTCGATCGACCACCATCAGTCTATGATCGTCACAGTTGACACCATCAAAACCGTCTTGTCGTCGCGACCAAAACCCTATCCCACACCCACCGTGAAATTGTACCGATCATTGTGAAAAACATCACAAAGTGTCACATGATTTCTATGTTTTTCGTTGTTATTTTATGTGATTTTGACGGCTACAGCCGTCTGTACGTTACACGGCCGCCACTGTTGAGTTCCTCGCACTGCTCTGAACAAAATTCAATCGATGGTGAAATGGTGGGGCGGGTGGGGGATTGATTTTTTTTCTTTTTTCAAATAATGTTTTTATTATTGAAAATTTTTAAAAAATATAACGGTAGACACCTAAAAATGTAACGGAGAAAACGTTAGACACCAAAGGTGTAACGGAAAAAACGTTAAGCACCTATTGTTAGCAAAAAATTCTTTAGACACCAAATCGTATTTTGAGATATAGTTTAGGCACTAAAAAATGTATTAAGCCTTTAATTAACTTCAAAACCAACAGGGACCTAATAAGTAGTTATAATTTGATTACCTGATGAATGAATTCTGCTGTGGAATGAGCATCTTTGGCAGCTATTTCCGAAACATGTTCCACCACCATGGCAGCCTTTTTCAGCGAGCTATAATCGGGAAACTTTTCCGCCTCCTCGGCTGCAACATTCTCCGCCACCGTGGCTACCTTTTCCACCACTTCCGCCGCATTCTCCGCCACTTCCACCACCATCTCTGCTTCTCCTTCAATCCTCATCAAATTTGCCCATTTACCCTTCCAGATCGGCAAGAAGAAACTCAACGCAGGCCCCAAAAGGCATCTTGCCCTACCATGCATGAAAAATGGTGATTTTTGCTTATTTATGACAAATTCTCATTTTTTCCCTTTACTATTCTTAAATTATGATTTTATTTCATATACTTTAATTAATTAGAACACACTATCTTAAGAGAAAAAAAATCAATATCAACATTTCAATTAGAATAGGCTATTCGGACAACGTCACAAACTATGCCAAAAAAGCATAATGGAGGGACCTAGACCACAATTTAACCAAAAATGAAAACTCAACCGAGTTCATACCAAAGGGAGAAGTTGAACTTGGAAGGAGATTCTGAACCAGCACCAGGTGAGCTATCATCTTTCCCCATCTCTTCTATTGCAGAACTGCATTTAATCACAATGAAATTCTGTTCAAAAATAGGTTAAAATCAGTGCTGAAATGAAGATTCGAAGATGATCATCATATGACAAACATTTCAGTATCCAGTTTGCTCCTGTTGCTGATGAATCGCAGGCCTTTGGTTGTTCACGCTTGATAAAGAAACCAGCAGCGAAGCATATATATAGATACAGCCATTGATTTCAGCAGATAAATTTGGTGTGAAAAGAACAAACCTGTGATGAAGATGTTCACAAGAATTCGGTATGCTACCTACAGGCCGCAAAATCGGCTCGAATGGCCGCTGTTCCATCCTTGTAAATCCACATCGGAGAAGAACTGTCCGATCAAATTACACTGTTTCCCTGTGATGTGGGATTTTCTCCTGGAACTTCTTTCTTAGGTTTCTTTTCACATGTGTTTTCCGACTTGTCGTTTGAAAACTAAAGCTTAGAGACAAACCCTGAATTACTAATTCGAGCAAACCCTGAATTGGTGCTTGCAAGCCAAGGCGTTTGCTAGTTTCAGGATTAGTGTTAGTCGTACGGTTTATGTATTTCTTTGTGGTTTTATCCTATCTCATAGCAATATCTTATCGGTCTTAGTTTTGGAACGTTTTGATTAATTTATTATTCTTGATATTTTTAGGGGAAGTCTTTGGTGGATTTAAGATTAAATATCTGAAAAGGTAAATTTTTTTACTTTTGTTTTAAAATAGTACGAACAAAGTGACTTCAGTGATAAATGAATTGTTATTGGTTCTAGCATAAAGAATGCTAAGACTCCTAGCCGGACACAAGATTTTATGTTAGGGGTGAAATTAAACTTAAGGAGGATGAACTAAAATTTCAAGGGGGGAACTAAAATACTAGGGGGCGAAACAGATTTTCAATAGGAAGTACATAGAAAAAATTTAAAATATACGGTAATTTTAAATTTTCAGGGGGAGACTGTCCCAACCCACCCCTCTCGGTCCATCACTGACTAGGAGTGTGAGCGTTCAATGTCAAATGGTTGAGAATGTTCTAAATTGTTAGTTTAAGTTCTAAATGTATTAATTTTTTAACATCGGATTATAAAATGAAAACTAAATGTCAGGTATAGTTTTGAAAAAATTGAAAGTTTAGATACTAAAACAGATAAAAAATAATAGTTTAAGTACTAAGCATATAATTTACCCTAAAATTTATATCTAATGTTTGACTGCTTAGTCACCTTGACTCTTATTCTTTTTTAAATATTTTAACATCTAATGTTTTATTTAGGGTCAAAGTAACCCTTGATTGAATTGAAATCATTAGTTAACTATCGATAAATGTTTATCACTAACGGGATAAGTCCAGTCCTATTTATCGAGAAGATCATAATCACATTAAAAATATGGCATGTGACATGAGATTATGGACATGTTCAATGCATTATGATATCATTTTGGTCACGTGATATTTTTCATGTTATCACTTTGAGCATATGATACATCATTATTTTAGACACATAACATGTTATATGACATTCCTTTGGACACATGACATGTGTTATATCATTATTTCGAGTACGTTAAAATTTTCACATCAACAATGAATGTTGACCGATAATTAACTGATAATTTATATTCAGTTAAATATTATTTTAATAGAAAATAAAATGTTACATATTAAAAAATATCAAAATAAGGTATGAGCCAAAATGATCCTTCAGTAACATTAAATGTTGAGATGAATCACAGGACACAACTAGGATTATTATCTCATATACTAATAGTAAAAAATTATAAATTAAGCTGTACTAATATTTCATGTTTAAATTTTTTTAATTTTTAATATAATTAAATGACACGTCACACGTAACAATCGTATAACATCGTTTGCGTAATATTTTTTTTCAGAATTAGTGTATAAAATCATTGTCTGAATAACAATACTTTATATTGATTTCTCAGTTCAGTCGAGTGAAATATTCAGAAGGGTTGCAACTATAAGCCAAAATGTCATCGTCTTGTTCGAACCGAGCTATGTTCTCCGGTTCCATCGTGACCCATGCTTCGATCGAACCATCATCGAACTCGGTGTCCAACAACAGGACCATCTCCACAGCCTTATGAGCACTGGCCAGCCACCCAGGCTTCCCCCAGCCAAAATCAGCCTCATAATATGGAAACCTACAACAACTCGTCAACAAGCATATATCAGTGTTCCCTTTCACCAGCTCCTCATGGATCACCCTCGACGAATCCTTCGCGGCCGAGAACAAAACGGCGGCGTTCTCAGCTCTCGCAAAGGATTCGGCCGCGTTTCGGATCTCGGTTCCGACTAGATCCACCAAGTGTAGGAGAAGATCAGGGTTACGGTCATCGTTTGCTGTGAATCGAACCGTGATGTTCTTGAACAGGTTGCCTGCTGCATTTGTTGGTATCGGCAAGTTTGTTTTTCCACGGAAATTGAAGGGGAAGATCTGTAATGACTAATGAATCCCTTAACGATCCGTGTTTCGTTTTCGATATTTCGAGTCGAGCCTTCCATGTGAGGGCTATCAAGATTTGCGCCCTGGAGAGCCGTGAGTTATCGGAAACGAAAGGAGCCGCTTTCGTTTTCAGGGCATCCAAGCCGGATGAGCTGAACACGAACCTCTTTGTGATCAGAGTTTCCGAGTTATCTTCCGGGACTGGGACCTTATGCGTCGCCGAGAACGTCGCGGCGGGCAAAACCGATCCGATCTCGAAGCTCAAACACTTCACCGCAACGAGGCCGGTTCGACAACAAGTAGCCCACGCGTTCAAGAAATTGAAAATCGTGAACGCGTCGGCGAACTTGTGTGACAAACTAACTCCGATGGCCAAACCACCGGAGTCGAATTTGTTAACTTGAACAGCAAGTATGTTAGTTGTGAAAACGAGCTCGTTCGGGTAAGGAGCCAATCGGTTCACCGATTTAGCCTCGAGCTCATCCATGATGAATTGGTCTAGCTCCGCATTATAAACTCGAGCTTCGAAATACTCGACGCCTTGATCGCCGCAGTCGATGGCGTTCCGGTACTCGACTAGCCGACCGGCGAAAGGGTAAAGCTTGGTTAATACTTCCGAGAGCGAAGCTTCGAGCTTTTCTAGTGTTTCGCCATTGATGAGTTCTTCGTTATTATTAGCTGGAAAAAAGAAAACGAAGGTGCCGTGAGTGGAAGGAGCGATTTGATCGAAGCTTGATAGATTTAATTCTCTGAGGTGAGTTGGTGTTGGGGACGATGGCTTTATTAGCTTTCGTGTTTCGATTTTAACCTCCATTTTTGAACTGGGATTTTCTTTGCCTCTGCAACACTAATTGTTGAAGGAGCAATGGCTTTATAGTGGCATTTATAGAAGAACATCAAAATCTCGTGTGTTTTTAACAGAATTATGCCATTAATCATTATGGTTTTTCATTTAACACTTCAGTTTTTTATCACCTTCTTTATTCCAAGGAGTTAAAGCAAAAGCCAGTTTCAACGACATTCATTTTGTAACTGAATTTGATATTTTTCCAATTTAATCCCTAAACTTTATCTCAGTCCACACTAGTCCCTCAATTTCGATTTTTCCCCTCCGATGCCGTGATAATCTAACTGAAAATGAAAAAAAAAGTTATAAGTTTAGGGATCAAGATGAGAAAATTTGCCAACATTAAACATTAAAAGTTATTTTTCTGAAAGAAAAGTAATTCAAACATTGAAGCAATAATACCAATTGGTAATTTATATATAGGCATGTAAACAAACCGAAAGTTCAACTAACCGTTCGACATGAAGTTCATTTATTTATTAAATGAATATTAACAATATTTTATGTTTATTTAATTAAATGAACGAACATGAACAAAATTTTATGTTCATTTAATTAAATGAGCGAACATGAACAAATGACTCGTTCATTCATTTACGTTCATGAACGTTCGGTAATCCGTTCATTTATGTACATTTATATTCGTTCGCTTATTTTCAGCCCAATCTTCAAAATCATTTGAATATTAAGACCTAATAAATTTTAACCTTAAAACCATTAATATTTTAAAATCTAATTAATTTTAAACTCAAATAAAAATACTCAAATATATTAAAGAAAATATAAATCCAAAAATTATTTTGGATAAAACTCTTCCCAAATATAAACTCAAATCATTTATGTTTGTTTATTTATGTTCGTTTGTTTATTTTTGTTTATGTTCGTTCATTTATGTTCGTTTATCATTTCAATAAACGAACACGAATAAGCTAAATTTCTTAACGAACACACACAAACAATAAATTACGTTCATTTAGTTGCTCATATTTGTTCGTTTGTTCGATTAAAGTTAAACGAACAAATATGAATATACCCTCGTTCATATTCGTTCGGTTCGTTTACATACATATTGATAAATGAGAATTTAGTACCTAATCCTAATGCCATCCCCTAGACAACTCTTAAAACTTTGAAAATGTTAGAACCTTAAACTAAAATTTCCAAAAAAAAATTAAGAATTAATGAGAAATGTTAAAAATTTCAAAAGTGGAATTAATTAAAAGTATCTTTTAATTTTTTAAAGGGTCAAATTAATTTTTTTTCTTCTTGAAATGAGGGTCTAAATACTAATTATATATATATAATTTATCACGAAAAAAATAATTTTATAAAATATATTAAAATTATAACCATTTATATGGATTGACGGAAAATTATATGAAACTTATCACGTCGATATTGACGAGTTTCAATTATTTATTACTATATTTTATGGAACTATCATACTTTAACTACAAGTTCTACGCATACTATGACAAATGAATTAGATCTTAAATATATATATATATATATATATTTCTTCTAAATTATTTGACCGATGCATTCCTTTATGATGTCTGGTCAATGACCAACAAGCAAAGGAGACAGGTATGTAGGAATGACATGGTTTTGGTTTTCGGTTAATTTGAACCGACCCGAAAGTTATATATATTTCATCCAAATTCGATTCGGAATGCTACACTTTTCACTCGATCCGAACTTGATTAGCTCATTTGAGATAAAATCCGAATCCAATCCGACCTGAACCTAATTTAAAAAAATATCAAATTTAATAAGATCAGATCGGATCAAAATATGTCAAATTCTAATCTCGTATCCGTCCCTACATACACGTGGGGGGAGACAAATGGTGTGATCCGTGGCTCCTTTCCCACCATTGCCTTCGCCATCACGTTCACTCGTAAGTTTCATTTCACTACTACCAACAATTAATAATAACAGCAAGAAAATTATTGATGGTGTCGAGAGATAAAAGAAGAATTTAGGGTTTTTGAGATTTTTATAATGAGTGATCACACGTTTTACCTATGTAAAATCGGGAAGAGAGTAGCTGGAGGAGATTCAATCACTTAATCGATAAAATTATACAAATTTAAGGGTAAATTTTAAATCGATTACTAAACTTTACTCCCTCTCTTATTTCACTCAATATATATTAAATCTTTTCAATTTGCTCACTAAACCTAATATAGTGGGATTTTTTTGTCACTCAGTTATTTCCTCACTAACGACATTAAAAATGAGTTTTTATATAGATGAAAAACGACATCGTTTTGGTGAAAATTTTATTTTTTTTCAACGGTATCGTTTTAACGCCGTTAATTATTTAACGATGGAGTGATTGAAAAACCTAATGCATAAAGTTCAGTGAAAAAAATAAGAGAGAGAGAATAAAATTTAGTTATGAAATTTATAACTTACCCTTAATTTAATTATAATAGCAATGCTCATATTATAAATGAACAATGAACCTTAATAATACCATGATATGATAAAAAAAATCTCAAAAATGTAAACAATCAAATATTTCAAAACTTATACAGAAATATATTATTAATATATAATATATATATAATTTAAATATACGAAAATATAATTATAACACAATACGAAATGCAAATTTACCAATCAATAAATATATGAAAAAAATACACATGAATTATGTCATTAAATAATATTCCTTTTGTAGCGCCACTCATTCCTTGCGCATACCCATAGCTCACCCTCCAAATTATATCAATTATGGCACCCAGGGCCTGGCCTCCTGCCTGCCATAGGTTGTTGGTTCTATTTTCCTTTTATTGAATCCCTATGCTTAAATATTGAAAAAATCATAAATCTATAAATAAAATAAAAATATATTAATCTTTAATTTTTAATACATATATATTAAAAATAATTCAATCAATATTTATAATAATCTTTTGTTTTTAATATAATAATTAATAATTAATTTGAGAGTAAGTACAATGTAATATATGATTAATTTTTAAATTAATCATTCAACCAGGAGTTAACAAAGGTAAGATGTGACACATGTCGGATGTTAATTTTTAAATTCATATTGGGTCAGAATCGGGTGAAAAATATATATTTTTCGAGTTAGATCGAATTCGAGTAGATGATACATATTTTCGGGTCGGATCAAGTTGACCGAAAGTTCGACCCGTTGTCATCCCTAAATATATAGCTGCTAAAGGAACATAAAACTTTACACAATAATACATACCATGAAAATGCAAAACACCCATTGCAGTTAAGGACACGATGTACGGATAACGCAGCCTTAAAATTGCAAGTATTTTCCCTTTCAATGGCGCATATTGTAGAAAGAAAAGGCACAATTCCATAAACGGACCACTTTTCCTTTCCATAGGGTTGCTTTGCATAAATGCTCCCAAATTTAATATTTTTTGCATTGCATCATAAACCCATCCCTAAAATCCCCCCTACGTATCTTTCGATGTCTAGAAGTCGCATCAACCCTGTCATTAGGACGAACACATGATTTTATGTCAGTAGACGAATTTAAACTTATAAAACTAACATCTTCTATTCACGAGACTTACCTCACCACTCGAGACCCCAACAAAAATGGGTTCTAAGTAGTAGGACTAAGGTAATTAAGGTCCACAAGATATATGGCCTCAACATCCATTGGCCCCATTAGCCTTAATTGCTTTCATCACCCTCTCGTTGACTAATCGGAAGTTTGTACATACCCATCTATTAGTAAGTGTAATTTACGATATGTCGGAAAGGGTCTTAAAATTTGGGACCCTCACATTAAAAAATAATTTCTACCGTACGCAAGCGTGAAGAAAATTTAATTATTTATGTGGACAATCTATAAATTCTTATGTTAATCTTAATTATGTCTTAGGTATACCTTGACTATGGACCAGAGAACCACCCCTAACTTAAATTTTTATGTGCCCAAACAATAATAATAATAATAATTTATTTGGTACGGAAAATTTTAAATCGTTACATATATAATAATAAAGATGGTATTATGAAATGAGCACGAACCAAAGTGGCCATGTGGTAAAAGAATTCTTATTATTCATTGAGGATTCGGGTTCGAGCTCCATAGATGAATGGGGTGTGAGTGATCAATGTCGAAAGGTTGAGAGTTATCTTTAAACAAATACTGTCATATACTTACTCCAGATTATTAGAAAAAATGAGATAAAAATGTAATATCGACTGAAAATTTTACTTACATATAAAATATACCTATATAGATATATTTAACGATTAAATTATTCAAATATACGTATAAGAAATAATAGAAATATATAAATTTATTTTAATTTTATGCCACTAATAATCAAAACTCTCATAGAAGTTCATCCTATTGTTTTCAATTCATAATATCAATGCTATTTCCTTAACTTCATTGGGATACCAATTATGGAAAATAGTAGCATGCCAATTAGTGCCTCTAAGCTAGTTTGTTCGTGGATTGGGTCAAATTATAATTTATATTTTTGTATAATATTTAAAATATTTATAGTTTTAATTAAAGATAATTAAATACAAACTGACTCAGTTTACTTGTATTCTATTTTTTAATGAATTCCAATTTTAAATTATATTAACGTTAAACTAATAATTAAATTAATCTCACAAATTGATCAAAAACTCTCACTTAGTGACGTGGTAATTCCAAGTGTTCGTCAAATATATTTTGGTAAATTACGTATTTATCAGTTTTAATATGTTTTAGTATATAAACATTCAATTTCTTTAAAATCATACATAACGTTTAGTTTTTTGTTTCATTTTAGTACATTGACGTTAAAAATTTAACCTGAATTTTTATGGGTAAATTACATCATTCATCACTCAACTACCTTCTCACTCCTATTTTGGTAATAAAGTTAAAAAAATTTAAATTTAACCACTCTATTTTGAAATTATGGGTAACGTTTGTAACGTTAGGTATATGTATAAGTCAAAAAATAATTTAGGCACTTATTTGAGAAAAACGATATATTTTAAGCAATTATTTTGGTATTAAGCCTTATTAGAAATAAGTATACGTCATGTCCGACTGAGTTTTTAAATGATCCAAATTCGGCTTGAGCATTCAGTCCTACAGCTTGACATCTGATCTGACTCAGATTTAAGGAGGTTCCACCCAGTTAAAAAATTCAATCCAGCTTTAGGTAAAACTTTCATCTTACCCGATTTTACTCAAATATATATATATATATAATTTTATTAAGTAAAATAGAGTTTTAATTAAATTTTTTAAATAAGTGTATTATTATAAGTATCCCTACCTATTAAATGGATAATTATTAATTATATTATTTTTCAGGTTGGATCAACAATTTCACTCTAAACTCAAACTAAAAAATAACACATATAATTAAATTAAGTCGAAATTCATCAGATCTTGATATTATACATATCCCTGCGCATGACTTAATGTTGTAGTACACAAAATTCAAATATAAAATTGAAAAATTATCAAACTTTAAAACTATATATTAATTTATCCCTAAAAAAATAAGATATCTTATTAACAGCCATTAGATTCATTTTTTATAGGAATTGAAGACCTCATTAAAAACCTCCTTCATGATTAAAGGAGCTTATAGAGAAACTCCTTAATCAGACAGGCATTAGATACATGATTTTCACTATTTCATAATGCATTTCATGTTTCACACGTAGCTCCCACTACAAATGAATCACACGTCCCTTTTAACATATTCTATTTTTTTTAATTAATCATTAGTATCCGATCTACTGACCGACTAATCCAAATCGAATACTGCAGAAGCAAGAACGACTCCCAACCCAATTTACTCCATTTACAAATGCCAGAATTTGAACCTATAACCTTGCTTAAGGAACTTAATGTCTCATCCCACTAGACCAACCGATTATTGGTTAACATATTCTACTTTAATACATCTATCATATTCACTTTCATTTTATATTAAATCTTTTATTTAATTTCAAACAATTTCTCTTATTTTTTCCTTATAATAAAAAAAATAAATAAAGAATGACGCGAGATAATACCGATGACAAATATTATTACATTCACACAAACCACTGAAAACGACAGTACAACAAACAGTCATGGTTTGGAGCTCAAGCATCAACCAGTCATGGCTCCAATTATTAGTACAAAGACATCATCAAACTACACAAAAACAAGACGCATCATAAACACATTCCACAAGGGGCAGACACTCAAGAACAACTCACGTGAAGAGGGGGGGGGAACCAGACTTTTTCCCCACAGAACTTGATCGAAAGATGGACACCTCCCGGGGTAAAAGAAAACCAGACACCATGGGGAAGCTTTTGTCTTCATACTTGTAGGGGAAAGGTGGAAAGAAAATATCAAGCATGATGTGTTGTTCTCAAGGTAATAAAAGAGACAGGAACGGGGTCGGGTAGCGGGACCCAGCTCGACCTAACGCGCATGCACACTACACCACATCCATGGCCATGGGGGGTGGGGGCCTTGTTTTTTACAGCACACACCACACTACTAGCAGACTCTTCCCCTCCCCCCCCCCCCCAAAATGCGTTCAAAGCATTGATGACTTGCTTTTTACTATCAAAGATGATCATTTCAGGTCAACAAACAAAACCATAAACCTACTTTAATCAAAAGAGCAGATGGCATACCTTGCCTTTCCTTCATTGGCTGGCCCCCCATCAGGCTCCTTGAGAAAGTAAAAAAGATGACAAAACGGGTCGGCCCCACAGAAAAGGCGAGTTTAATGATTTCAAATTCATCGATCATTCGAGTTGAGACTTTGGTTCATTTTCAGCCTTCTTTTCCTACCAAATAATGTAATCGGCATACTTACAAAGGGAGGGAGTGCAAACCTAGTAGCAGTTCACTCCTAAAGTCTCGACTTCGAGCTTTAAGGAGTTCAAGTAGTCTATAGATTCGTCGAGGACCAACAATGGGTTCTTTCCTTTGGCATCGGGTATTATGCTTTCCAGGATTTTTATCGTCGTGCGAATCTTATCCTTTATCGACTGTTCATCATGCAAAGTTTTCTCTCCGTCATTCGGTCCAATGGCATTGCTTGAGTCTGCATCAGCATCATACTCGTGATAGCCTTCGTCGACTATTATCGGTCGCTTATTCCTATCGTTCAGTAGCTTTTGCCTTTTGTTTGGACCATTAGAACTGGCAACTTGCTCCGTTACATCATAACCATGGTCTTGATCCTCATAGTTTCGCTTAATTCCAATAGGAAAGTGAGCCGTGCTCGTTACTTCATCGTCGTCTTCGTCACCATAAGCATCATCATCTTCATCTGAGTAAAGCAAAGCATTAAGTTCTTCGGTATCTTCATGCATCTCACTCTCTTCGGCACCCAAATGGTTCTCATCATATTCCTCCTGTAAAGCTGGTGGGGTGGGAATGAGACTATCTGTTTTAACTGCTTGCCCTACATGGAAATCGAGGGAAGAAGCTACCTCTGTGGTGGAAGTCATCGCATACTGATATGGAGATTGAAAAGGACCATAAATTAACCTTGTCTGACTTCCCGACTGATCAAAAATAATCAGCCCTTTCTGCGAGGAGCCAGGGACCAAATTAGCTGTAGCCCTTCCCCCGTGTCCATTAGTAAACTTGAATTGCTGTTCATTGAGATATGAACCGGAAGAGGGCAATGAAGTCGGGAAACCGGGGTAAAACTGCTGAATAAACTCGTGGGGATGATACTTTTGTTCCGTTTTTAGTACAGAAATATCTGCTGGCCTTGGCATTGTAATATTTGCAGGAAGCAAATGACTGCCATGATCTGTATCCGGAACCAAAAAACCCGGTTTTGATATACTCGCAGAAAGCATGTGACTGCCAGGGTTCAAATACGCAGGCAAACATTCTTGCTGCCTGGGCGCTAATGATGATCTCATGCACCTTAAGTCAGGCAGTTGCCAAGAAGAACGCTGAGGGAAAACCGAAGAATCGTTGGTCCAAACCATACAACTAGAACACTCCTGCGGATCACAAATAAGAAACGACTTTTTTTTCACATGAAAATGGAACAAAAAATTAATAACAATGAAAACAAGAGGTGGTAAGTGGTAACAACATACCAGGTAATGGACAATGCTCGATCCCGTATATTAAACTTCTAAATGCTTTTGTAACGAACAAATGTTGAGAAGAAAAACTTTATAAATTCTGGCTTGATAATATACCACAGATATGGAATCAATCTACGTGACCGGCTTAAGTAAATGACGGAAGTACTCAGCCTGCGAGAACAGCAAAATCAGCACGATATCAATTTAAACATACCGTTTATAAAAATCACCAATACAAAGATTCAAATGAAAAAATCTAAACTAACCTGACAATCCTCCATTGGTTGAAAGCATGCAATTACTCTAACTACAATCGTTGGTTTTCCGGCAATCCCATTTTCATGTTTTAATGCTCTAAATCTTGTTTGACTAGCTGCTTGGCACACCATAACTACGTATTTCTCCTTGGATTAATCACTCCTATCGATATAGGACGAGAACGGAAACAAATACCAGATAACAAAGCAGCCAAACTCACCCAAGGTATAAGACAAATAAAATATCTATCTAGTACTAAAGAAACGGTTCGAAAGCAATAAACTGTCTGAAGGAGCTCGAATTAGGATTAGTATTCTAACTTCCGATATTTCTAACTACCGATATTTCTAACTAATCCTATATTGATCACAAAAGAATAAATAAAAGTGGGTGGATCCCATGGATGGTTGAGCAAAGAACAGCTAGCTGATATAAAAACAAAGGTAAAGTGAAAAAGACAGATTTTACAAAATAACTCTGCAGTATAAATTCAAGCGCACAACTCTGCGAAAGAAACTGAACCAAGGCATGCTGTTTCTCTTCTTTGTTTCACCGAACTATGCACAGCTTTAACGTTATTACTCGTGTAAAACCAGGTATTTCTCTGCAAAAAGAAAGGATTTCTCGTTAGAAGACATTCGCGAAGCATAAGCCACAAATAAGGAAATCGAAACAGGATAATCCGCTTGTTCAAAGAGATACAACAAGAGACTATTATTGATGCATACTATTGCTTAGAAACTATGCCAACTCTTCTCTTCTTCGCTAAAGTATTTATGTTCGACATATATCGGAAATGATGCGGATAGTAATTCTCCAGATATGGGCGAAGCTTTAGAACACGAACACCCTGTGTCGAATATAGATATCGATATCCGACAATTCTACCACTAACATAGCTTGGAATTGTAGTAAAAAAAGAATTCAACTTCGTTTCTTTCCCTTCATTACTGGTATGAACATTAACAATCATAAATAGATTTTGGTTTTCTACTTCATCGGTGATTTAAATAACGCCCACTATGTCCGCAATCACGATAAGCAAAATCGCAACCGCAACTGCAATTTGAATCCCTGCTTTCAGCCAATATATGCATCAAGCAGCATCTAATTCTATAATTAAATCTAATAACAGGAAATGAAATAAACATGTAGAAACCCTAGAGAGATTACGATTATTGAAACTGATAAAATCATTAAAACAAACAAACAAAACTTACATGGAAGAACAACAGCCTAAAAAAACCCAGAAACAATATAGAAAACCCAAACCCTCTTTTTCATTTTCTCGGTAAACAAACAGGGACAAAGCAACCCCATCAAGGTTTAGGGTAAAAAACAACATGCAAAAACCTGCAAAAAGGAAAGATCTTTGAATACAAAAACTTACAGGAAGAAAAAACCCAAGCTTGCTATGGTGGGATCCAAGGGACCAAAGAGATAAGATGAAGACAGAATCTTGAAACTATGAGAAGAGAAACAGGAGACAACAGTTGAAACTCGGAGAGAGAGAATGGTGTATGTGTCTGAAAGAGGTGAGTGAGTTAAGAGAGAGCTGGAACATATAGACAATTTGGATGCCCATTTCACCCTCGCTTTCTTTCACCCCCAAATTATTAATTGTTAGACTTTTTTTTTTACTATTTCAGGTACTGTAATTTTACCTATTGTAGTGGTTAGAATAAATAAGTCATATAATAACTTTTAGATTTTCTATTTAGTCCTTGAACACATATTTTATCTACAATAGTCCTTTAAATTTGATTCAAAAAGTTAAGGGTAAATTACATATTTAATACCTAAACTATTAATTTTGGTCTATTTTAGTACCTAAACTTTCATCTTTTTCAAAATTATACCTAAAATTTAATTTTTGTTCCATTTTAGTACATCATCGTTAAAAACTTTAGCTTTTGTTTCATTTTAGTACCAATTGAAAATTTAGCGTTAAGTTTTGAAAAAAAATAAAAGTTTAGGTACTAAAACGGACTAAAATTGACAGTTTAGGTAATAACGCGTTAAGTTTTTAACGACGGATACTAAAATGAAATAAAAACTAGACGTTAAATATGATTTTGAAAAAAATGAAATTTTGTATATTAAAATGAACCTAAACTGATAAGTAAAGTATTAAATGCGTAATTTACCAAAAAATTAATTACAATTTCATGAGTTAAATCATCATCCTACTTGTTTTTTTTTATGAAATAAAGATGATATTTGAATCATTTTTCGATTTGTGCGTGTCATCCTTGCGCATTGGCCATGTTAATCTTCTTTGTATCGTTCCAATTTTATCGGATGTCCCCGAAGGGACATTCTACTTGTTTTTTAATTAAACAAAAAAGTTACTAGTTTTAAAAGTATAAGTTCTCAATCAAAAATAAAAGTTCAAGATCGAAATGCACTTTATAATATAATTATAATTGTAAATACAAATAACGTGTTTATCTAAATAATTATTACAATAATTAATTGTTTTAAAACACAATAAGATAAATAATTAGAATATATTTAAACAAATCAAATATTCGATTAAAAGATATATTAAATATTTAAATCCAAAATCTTTATGGAGAGTCTTATATAATGTATGGTAATGACATGAACGGACTTAGATTTAATCGGGTGTTCAGCTAAAAGGTTAATGGCATGAATGGGAGAGACAAAAACATGTGAGAATCACTCATTAACAATCTAATCAGGTGATTACCCAATGCAGATTCAACCAACTAGTAATGAGTAAAGGAGGCATGATTAGGGATGGGTATAGGCTGGGTTCCGGTCATTCTGATCAAACTCGAAAATTATACACTTTCCATCTGACCTGAATCTACCCGAAAATGATACATCCTTTACTCAAAAATAAATTTTAAAATACTAGACTCGACTCGATTCGAACCCATATTTTTTAAAAAGAATTCGATCGATATCCATCGAGTTGGGTTGAAATTCGTTAGATTTAAGTCCCGTGCCCATCCCTAGTCATGATCCCACATTAGATAATGTGACTTTGTGGGGCATTTTAGAGTATTCAATCATCTATTGTAATGACATTCATGGTTTTAAATCGCATTCGTGGTCGCGTTTTCAATCATTTCGGGTTTATCGTGATTGTGGCCGTCGCGGGCGCTACTACGTTTTCGGACCGTGATTTAAAACCCTAAATTGACCACTTTTTGCACACCACCAACCATCATTTTTCTAGTTTCATTATAATCCCCGTGCATTAAACCTCTAACCAATGTATATAATTAAATTTAATTTTGATCATTAGTACTTTTAAGTTTTTTAAGATCACGATTTATCTCTTTTAATTTTAGACATAGAATTATTAATTACAATAATCGAAGGTTCAAAAGTTTTTTTTTTTTGAAAATGTCCAAAAAAAGAGAGAATGAGGAAGAAGAAGATCATCCTGATGTTCCGGTAAATTCTTATATCATAATATGAAGGTATTAAGTTATGAAGGGTAAATTACACTCTTAGTATCTAAATTATCAGTTTTTGTAAGTTTTAGTACCTAAACTTTCAAGTTTTTCAAAACCGTGCAATTTTTGTTTCATTTTAGTATCACTGTTTAAAATTTAACTTTAAGTTTTGAAAAAAATGAAAGTTTAGGTACTAAAACGGGCTAAAAATAATAGTTTAGGTACTAAACGTGTTAAGTTTTTAAAGGCATGGTACTAAAATAAAACAAAAACTAAACGTTTGATATGATTTTGAAACAAGTGAAAGTTTAGGTGCTAAAACAAACAAAAACTGATAGTTTAGGTACTAAATATATAATTTACCCGATTATGAATGATAAACCCCATTTTGTTTCTTGCCTTATTGCTTAGAGTGGAGGGAACAAGCATTGCATTTCACAACAATGCTTCTATTTGTTTATCCATGAACATTATCCATGAACATGTATTCATACTATTATAACGTCTACCCTTTATGAAGCACTACAAAAAAAAGTAGTCCTCCAAGATAAAATTCTAAAAATAAAGGGGTGGATGTGACAATATTAAAATAATAAAAAGAATTAACCAAATTTCTTCAATAAAATAATTAAGAGTGTTGAAGCTTTGAATCAATCACTTGGCTATTCCATGGCTTTGCTTTTATAAAAGTACCCATGCTCTAAAAGCTTCTTTATAAGGTTGTGAGTTTTGTATGGCAATACTTATGCCATAACATGTACATACTTTTCTTTTTTCAATTTGATTTTGTCACATTTACGATATAATAAATATAAATATTTTTAACCAACAGGTTGATTCAAGTGATAAGCAGCTTGATATCGCTTAAACAAGTTTCGAGTTCGAGTCTTTGTGTATGCAGAAAATTCCCGCTGGGAGACTCACCCACCAAAGTCAATTGTGCAACTCGAGTTGGTCTGGATTAGTCAAGCGAAGCATTGAGAACCGGGAGAGCAACAAAAAAAAATACAAATATTTTTATATAAATAAATATATTTATAAAAATAAAAATATTTAATAAATAACTGTGGGTGAAATAGAAAATGATTTGCATTTAAATTTAGAATAAATTATTTCAAGCATCACTAAACTTTTAATTTATAGGATGAGTATGTCACGCTCGACGAGTATCGATGAACACTATTAATTTAATTTATAAAAAATTAAAATTCTAAAGGACTCAACATATAATTATATAAATTATTAAAATAAAGGATAAACTATACTAGTGACCACTTAACTATTGCCCTTTTTTCATTTTGACCACCATTTTTGAAATTTTGTCAATCAAGTCACTCAACTATTTAAATGCATTCGGTTAATCCACTTACAGAGAAGTTGATGTAGTAGTTAAACTATTTGGTATAATTACATATTTGGTCACTATTACTTATATATTCTATCAATTTGGTCCTAATTTTAATAAATTAAAATAAACTTAACCCTCAAATCAAATGGTGTCATGTGCGCCAAGTGTAATGGCACGTGTCACCATCCAATTGGATGATTAAATTTATTTTAATTTAATATATTTTCTCACCAATAATAGGGTGACACGTGTCACCCCACCTTCCAGAGGAAAAAAAACTTGGGCGCCTAATGATACCTAAGGAAATCAAACATGGGGTTCCTGGGTTGAAGAAGCCAGGCTCAACCATTGAGCCAAACTAGTTAACTGGTTCGAATTTAACTACATATGTTTATTTATGTTGTATATTAATGTAAACTTAAATTCTTAATGTTTTATATATCTTAACTTAAATTCATATATTAAATTAATTTTACATAATAACATTAAAAATATGTTTTATTTTTATATAAATTTATTAAATATATTCTATTCTTTTAATGTGATACTAAAATGAAATAAAAATTGAACGTTAGGTGTGATTTTGAAAAAAATGAAAGTTTAGGTACTAAAACATATTAGAACTGATAGTGTAGGTACTAAATATGTAATTTATTCTTTTCGTTGCTCATGCCACCGCTAATTAAGGCGTCGATGGGAGATTTTCAGAATTCTGAGTGTAGTTCCCAAATTCCATTGGTACATTTTATTTTCTTTTTCATTAAAGAAAATAATGGAATCCGCTCCTTCAATCATATTGAGTTTGCTTTATCATTCGAACCTTTTTTTTTAGAAAATCCCATAATCCATCGTCAATCTGGTGCGCCCCATCAACATTCACCTTAAACCAGCCATCAGGCGGACAGTGTCGAGAAAGATTGCAGGAAATAGAACTCCCACGATCTACTGGACCTTGATGTTGATTAGCCAACGCAGTGACAATTTCTGTCTGAAAATGTTTACTTTGTACGAGTATGTTCTCTTCAACCACATAAGTATCATCGAACAAGATTCGATTCTAGAGACACCAGATAGTCGGACCAAATAAAAGGTCCCGATCTACAAAATTAATGGGAAAGTGGTCATACTGGGTGAGGTTCCTTTCGATCCAATCTGTTAATGACAAACTATGAAACTCCTTACAGTTTGATCACTCCCTGCCAGAAGGGTCCAGCAGCCATGCAGTCCTTGAATATGTGTAAATTGGACTCCACCGTCGCACCACAGACTGCACAATGCGTGCCCATCGTCATGTGTCATCCATTACGTTCATTCGGTAGAAGCTTATCTTTATAAAGCTAGCATTCAAAGAAGCATCTTAACTCGCAGGAGGCCTCGATAGTGTATGATCTGGTTCCAACGTAAAGTTCGATCGGTATTCTCCGTACTACATATACGTCGGTTATAAGCAGTCTTAACGGTGAAACGCCGATGTTTATCCCATCTCCATGCCGGAACATCAGGTCCTCCATCGTTCCATGCCGATGTTTATCCTTCTTGTTTTGTCATTTGACCCAATGCGTCGTTCACGCTCTTGTAATTGCGTCGATAGGGAGACGCCCACGGCCCATCAGCTTGCATCCGTACCATCGCTACGTCTGCCGGGTTGCCGACGGAGGCGCCGGTGCCACCGGCGATAAGACCAGCAAGTATCTTGCTCGTGAGCGGCAAATTCCCAGTTTCTTTGTCGTTGCATTTGTTTTTAAGAATATCGTAGGGTCCCATACGGGTGGTGGAATACAAAGTGTGGCGGAGTATGGTGGCGGAGACGCCCGAGAAAAGCGCGGCAACACCCTCCAATTGGATGATACGGACACCGATGGAAACGGGACCTACACGAGGCTGTGAAACAGCTTGAGAGACCGACACATTTCCGGCGGTGGCGGAGTTCACGGCGAGTGTTGGACTGTAAGCTTGAACAGAGGGATTAGGGATATGGGATTCACCTTGAAGTTGCATGCGGACCTTGATGAGGTCGAGAGGATGAGTTGAAACGCCGGCGACGATCGATGCAATTCCTCCCTCTACGAAACCTTTAAGACCCATGATTTATTTTTCGATTGCTGAAAAGAATTAGAATTTGTTCTTGTGAAAGTGCGAGAAAAACTGGGAATTATAAAGAGAGAATTTATTGTGTAGTGAAAGAAGTGAAGTATAGATTTATATGCGATGAGAGGTTGAAGACGACAAAGAGAGGAATGTGAGGGAAAACCTTCTTCGTGTTCAATTATTGAATGTTTGACGCGGTGAGTTTTCGACTCACTATCCCGACTGTTTCAGCTCAGTATTTTTGAGTTATGACCATAGTTGTTTAAGTGCTCTAAAGCACTGTGTTTTTAGCTTCGGCTTTACGATCCCTTTTGCTCTTCCGGGAAGGATGCGGTGATCAATCAGTCGATTTGGTTAATTGATGGAATTGAATTACCTAAAATTTATTAACTAATTTTTTTACTCAATAATCGAATCAAAATTTTTGAAAAAAAAAACTTAATTGAACCGAATAAAATTCAATTAATTTGATCGGCTAACTAAATTAATCAAAATTTAAAAATAATATAAATTATAAATTAAATGTTTTAATATTTTCTGTTAATTCAATTAGTTTGATCAGTTAATTCGGTCAGTTAATTCAATTAAAATCAAAACTTAAACACCTCTGAGGCAAAGTAATACAAATAATAGGGTAAAGTACACAATTGTCCCCAACTATAAGGTAATGCTTTCTTAAGTCCTTGGACTATTAAAAGTTACAAAATGATCCCTGACTATAAGGTGATATAATAAAATTGGATATCATAATCTAAAACTATCATATATCAGTCAATACATTAACATCCAACTCAGATTGTTGTCAGTTTTTTTAACAACAAATGATGAGTTTGGAATATACTAAATACTCGGGTGACATTTTTTAACTTTTAATAGTCGAGGAACTCAACAAAGCAACGTCCTATAGTCAATTGACCATTTTGTAACTTTTAATAGTCGAGGGACTCAACAAAGCTTCACCTTATAGTCAAAGGACTATTTGTGTACTTTACCATAAATAATAATATAATATATTAAATATTTCAATTAATTTGACTAGTTATGTTAATTAACCAATTTCAAACCAAATTTTAAACAATAACCGAAGTTTGAAAAATTATTAACAGTTATCCAACCAAACTAAAAATTAACCGATTTTTTTAAAACTCAATCGGTTAATTCGATTTTAATCGATATATGAACACCCTTACTAGGGAAAGCTTGAAAAGAGATCGAAACTCTATTTTATTATCCATTTTAAAGATAGTATATTCAATTGAGTCGAAGAAAATTTTTTAAAATATGAATTAGGTAAGCTAATAAATCTTAAAATTTAAAATTAAATTTCAATTTTACTCGAATAAAAATTTGATTTTTTCAAGTCGAATGTAATTTTGCTAACCGTTACCCGTTTTGTTGACTATTTCAATCGATTATTAATTTTTAAAACGACTTCAAAATACCGTTATTCACACGTGAAAATACTCATTAACATTCACACATGCTAATCAATGATGCTGTATATTCATGGCACGTAAATTATTCGGGATGCATATTATCTCTCCATAGTCACTGCGCACGTAGGACTTCGATCTCGAAGTCGAGAACTGAGAGTTAAGTGCGACTTCAGTAAAAATTAACGGGAGGTAACAATATGGATCTTATTGAAAATGAACTAAAAGTTTGATGATTATATTACAAGTTTCAAAAGTTGAGTGATCAAAATATAAGCGCTCTAAAATTTAAGAGACTATTTATATATTTTACCCTTAAATATGATATCTCTTAATAAAATTGTTTTAGGTCGGTGCGACAGTCGTCTTATATATATCATCATCAAATATAGTTTATTTCAAGAGTTAATGATGTTTAATTAATTAATTAATCAAAAAAATAATGATGTAAATAATTTGAATTTTAATAAAGAACACTAAATTTTAAGGATAAACTATAAAAATGGTCATTAATATTTGAATACATTTTCGTTTTCTCTATTGAAGTTTCAAAAGTAATAAATTGGTCACTAACGTTATTGAATTGTAACAAATCGGTCGCTAACATTATTGATTTGTAATAAATTGATCACTTAACATTAACAACCGTTAACTTGTATGACAGAAAGCTGATGCGTTATGTTAATATGACTTTTTTACAACATTTGACCACGTGAGATCATTCTGATAGACTGTCACCTCTTTATCTCTTTCTTCTTCTTTAAATCACTATTCTTCTTTTTTTCAAGCATATCATTCAAACCTAAGTTGAATTCCGTTGAAGTGGATGATGTGTTCGATGCTCCATTGGAGATGTTCATTAAGGTTTTTCTCTCTACTCCATCCTGGTACTATACTCGTTTGCACTCTTTCTTAAACAATATATGATTTGTTTGAGATTTGGAAAAGATTGTCTCGGAGAAAGAATAGAACTTAGTTGAAGAAGAGGAAGAGGTGAGGATTGGTCAAAATGGTCTCACGTGGTCAAATGATGTAAATAAAGTCAGACTAGCGTGCGACATAAGCTTTTTGTCACCTAATTTAACGGCTGTTAATGTTGAGTGACCAATTTGTTACGAATCAATAACATTACTAGCAATTACAGCAGAAATGATTAAGCATTCATTATCAAATAATTACGAGTATTCAAAACAGATATTTACAACGTAAAATCGTTAGATCTTGGGAATTCGATTCTTTAAGGGAATGAGAGGACGGGGAATATGAATCAAACGCTTTCATCTTTTATTGGAATATCTTGATTAATGGTTGTTGCTAAACATGAAAAGATAGCGTCAGCTCGGAGATATTTTTTATATGAAGCATCAAAGAAATAATATTACTTGGAGTAGAAAAGAAAGAAAGAAATAATGATTAAATTGGTAGAATACTAAAATAAGGGTAAATTTTATCAGATACCATCAAACTTTAGAAGTTGTATCATGTATACCACTGAACTTTCAATTTTGTTAATTATAGCATTGAAGTCTGATTTTCATTTCAATCGTATCACTGAACCGTTAAATCGTTAACGGTACAATGACGTGACTGACGACTGTCGATGTAGATACCTCACCAAAATGACATCGTTTTGATCCGTCTGTTAACGATTTAACGACCCAATGGGTATAACTGAAACGGAAATCAAAGTTTAGTGTTATAATTGACAAATTAAAAAATTCGATGTTATAAATGATACATCATCTAAAGTTAGGTGATATATGGTGTATTTTACCCGTAAAATAATGAGGATTAATTTTTATTTTATGTTTAAATTAAAATAAAGTGTAAAAGTTAAAGGTTAAATTTATTATGATGTCAATTTTATTAAATGTTATATCATTCTAGGTTAATTTTTTATAGTCAATATACTTAATAGAAAAATGTCATATAACTAAAATACTATTTGTGCATTTTACCCATAATTTTAGTTGATGAAATTAAAGTTTGACATTAATCTAAATCCAACGAATTTTGATCCGATTCGATCTTATATGATTATTTTTTTATGAAAATTTGGGTTTGGATCTGATTTTTTTTAATGATGAAGCCTAGTCAAGTCGAGTCGAGTGCGAGTTTAAAATGAAAATTACTTAATCATAAAATAAAAGTATAACTTGACATTTATATATTTAGAGATAATTTTTATAATAATCATTTCTCTTTATATTTTTTATTGAAAACAATGCTAACAACAATTAATTAACGTTAATAATATATTATAAGGGATGTCATATTTTAATAACTAAACTACAAATTTCATCTTTGAATAAAAAATTATGCAATAAATTCTATTACTCATCTTTGATCATATATCTATTTTGGTAATTGAACTTTAGATTTTTTCATAATCAAACCTAACATTTAATTTTTATTTCATTTTAATATCACGTCATTAAAAACTTAACATGTTTAGTACTTAAACTATCAATTTAACTTCGTTAAAAGATGAGGTGACTCACACGTCAGTAGAAAACAACTCGCGTCGGCGAAACAAAACAAAAAGCCACATCATCATGTTATTTTAGATTTAACACCCAAGTGATAAGATGGGAACAACTTAAATGTTGAGTGATCAAATGGAAATCTTTTAAACTTTAGTGACCAAAACGAAATCATGATCAAAGCTAAGTGATGAAGAAGCATAATTTACCCTATTTTAACATAATAGATCAACGTCAAACACCTGGAGATTAAAGAGATAAACTGATTTTATTCAAGGGAAAATCACATTCAAATCCCCCCACATGGACTTTTAAGCATAATGATTAACAATTAATATTACACATTAACACAAGAAGATGCAGATTTTGTAGCAAATGAGCTATGGCAATGGCTTCCATTGTTGAGCAATTCTCATTCCCACCATTGATGAACTGCAACTCCTTCATCCCTGAGCTTACCATACAGAGCTAAGCATTCCCAATAAGCCCTTTTGCTCTTCTTGCTCTTATGATTCTTCCTATTCTTCTTCATCTTGTTCTTCACTTGATCTTGCCATTGATTTCTGCACTCGAAAAACAGTTCGTCCACCAGACCCATCACTTTCCGCTCTATCATCTTCTCCACGACTTCGGCCTCGGCTTTCATCACGACGTAATCTTCTGCGCCTACATTCTTTGTCAACCAATCCGGAACATCGATCCGGTCGCTCACCGTTTCGGAACCGTAAACCTCGAATTCTTGGTTCCTTTTGGGGTAGTTCTTCTCGAACCATTTCATCGCGATGTTGTTCTTATCGTCGACATCGTTGGATCCGACGTCGATGAACACCCTACGAGGGTAATGTTCGAGGGAATCGCCTAACAGATCGGGGAGGAAATTGATTTTCTTTGAGTATGCAGCTCTTTTCCTTGGTGGCTCATACAGAGCATCCTCTAAGCCTCTCAATGCTGCCTTCTTAGCCTCCATTGTCATGTCACAAAGCTTTCTTTTCGCAGAAGAATCGAAGGAATGGTTCTTCGGACCGAGTTTCTTCATCGCAACGATTGTAGAACGGAATTTCTTAAGATAAACGATTCTATAATCAGACTGCTTTTGATAGCCTGTCGAGGTTTCATCACCCAATTGCATTGCAACAATGCCACCGATTTTCACTAATTGATCCACGAACTCCGAATCGATAGACCCCAAACGAAAACGAAATCGAACCCTTCCTTCGGCAAAGAGCTGTGCGAACCGAAATCGGGTTCGAACACCACACTGATCCCATCATTGTTCATAAACATGGAACCTTCATCATCATCAACAACATCAACATCGAACCCTTCGATTGCAGAGTTCAATACGAGAGCTTTCTGCCCTCTTTTGAAAAGACCCTCCTCGGCAAAATCTCGCCAGAGCAAGTTCCAGTACTCCGAGCTGAAGGAACCAGAGCTCCGATGAAGCTCCGCCGCTGATGAAGCCGAAGGTCCTTTCAAAAACGACCTAATGCAAGGGAATGTGATGATCAATGTCGCTAAAAACAACGAACGCGACAGAACAAGCAAGAACCTCGGATCCGGAAGCTTAATGACCAAAAGGGTGTCCGGATTCAACGAAATCCTCGGACTTTGCGAGTGATTGAGCTGATTATAGCTGTGGGGATTCGGTCGAGGCGGCCGACCTGCCATCTCCGCCGTCGAATAACCGGATCTGCGTCTGAAAACAAACTCAAAATCGCTTAAATTCAGCCGAATTAAGCTAAAGGGCACCTCTCGATGGCAAAATTTTCTGGGAAAAAAACCCCAAGAAAAAATTCGCGGAAAATTACAGAAACAGAGAGAAAATCAAAACAACAGCTTAGCAGAAAGGAAGATCTTTTCTAGCGAGTGCAAAACCTAGCGGCAGTGTGATTTCCGCCCAATAGTGAAACACGCGCGGGTCGGGCTCTGCAACAGAGGCAAAGCAATGACCTAAACCTCTCAATCTCCATTGTCGTATCCACTTATCGGGGAAAAAACCCCTCTTTCTTGGACGCTTTCTTCTTCGTTTAGGTGAGAAGAGTGAAGGTCCAGAAGAACCCAGGTTCAGGTTCTGGTAACATGGATAATGAATCAAAAGAAAACATGAGAAAAGCAAAGTATTGGAGAAGATGGAGGAAATTGAGAGAGTGATGTAAAGAAAGAGGGTTTCTTTTGTCGGCTATATAAGATGGAAAAGGTAAAGATTACAAGTAAAGAAGATGGTTCATTCAAATTAGGGTTTGATTAGCTGTGAGATTTGCAACCGATCTGTCATCGTCTTCCTTAATTTGTTTAATGGTTGAAGGTCGTTCGCACACTACATTTACAACAGTTTGGGTTAATTATTTATAAATATAATTAATTTTAAAATATAAATTATACCGGGTTGTTATTAGATTTTTAGCATTTTCTTATTTTATTTATTAAACTTTAAAAATTTATGTTTTGATTATTAAAAGTTTATTTTGTTTTCATTATAATCATCGCTGTTAGTGTTATGAAGAAAAATTGATATGACAGATTATAAATCTAAAAACAAAGTAAATTAAAAATTTCATCACTAAACTTTACTATTTCTCCTATTTTTCTCATTGAACTTTAAAAGTTTTCAATTTTCTCACTAAATTAATACATTGGATTTGATGGTCACTGAATTTTACCCTCTCTCCTATTTTGGCCACTATACCATTAAAAACATTGTAGTTTTAAAAAAAATAAAATTTTCACCGAAACGACGTCATTTTACATCTATACAACAACTCATTTTAACGTCGTTAACTATTTAATATTTGAGCGACAAAAAAACTCAATATATTAAATTTAGTGAGGAAATTGAAAATATTTAAAATATAATGAGTGAAATAGGGGAGAGAGTAAAGTTTAATCGAAATTTGTAATTTTCCTAGAATTTTAATTTATATTATGACAATCATCATTCCTTTTTGTTATCGTTCATTGGTTCAAACTCATTGAAAAAAAATTCAATCTTTTCAAATTTCAATCAAAATTAAAAATTAAATTTTTTAAAATCTGTATTATAATTATTTAATTTTAATTTATTTTTATTATGATCAACGTCGTTAGTCATAATTTAGAAAAATTGATGTAACTCTAAAGAACTATAACTTTCTGCTTCTAAATTGACAATCTTCGTTCATATTTTCGTTGTTGTTTGTTTTTTTTTTGTTATCGTTCTTCGATTTCACCAAATGTAAAGATTATCAAATTACTCTTATTTTTGTCTTTTTTTTTTCTTCTTTCCTTTAGCTTGAACTCTTCGTAAAACCTTCCAATCTCCTCAGTTTTCAATCAAAACTAAATTTATAAACCTTTTCGATGTCATTGTCAAATACTAGATCAATTTGAAATTAAACTATATTAATCTTATAATCAAACAGAATCTTCCCACCGTTAAAATTAATTGGGATTCATTATGTTCGTCGAAAACTCACCAAAGTCAATTTTTAAAAATGAAGATTAAAGATTTTAACATGTCATGTTAATTCTTTTTAACGACGTTAGACGATAATAATTAATAAAAATTAATTAAAAAGCGTAGTAACTATAACATAAGTTTTAAAAAGCGTAGATTTTCAATCCACCTGACCCAACACGAAAATTATAAATCCTCCATTTGACCTGAACCCGACCCAAAAAAATATACACTTTCTACCTGACCCGAACCAGACCTGGGTTTCTTAGATAAAATCCGAACACGACCCGAAATAATAATTTTATTTAAAAATATTATTATTTTCAATAAAAATAAGAATTTAATTGAAAAAATATAATACATGGAGAGTATTATCATAATTATCCCTAAATATATAAGGTAAAATTATAATTTTCGGGGCAAGTCGGGTCATATATTTTTCACTCTAAACCCGAATCTAACCCGATCAAAACATAACCTTACAAAAATAGAAACCCAAATCTAATTTTTTTTAAAAAAAAATTAAATCAATCGGATAAATCAAGTCAAAATCCATCAAATTCGATCTCATACCCATCTCTAATTGTTATTGGCTTGATAAAACATCACCTCTAGTAATTCAATAGATTTAGGACATCTAACTCTAATTGGTCGGTTATTTAATTCTTTTTTAATTAAAAGCCACCTCTAAAAAGCTATGAGATGAGTGGGTTTCTCACCCAATTTTAACACACGCAATTACTGCTTAAAGCATTGGTCGATAGACGTACATCACATAAGATTCAAACTAACATTTAATACTTAAAACTAATATGAAAGACTTACGTTATAATTAAACTCATTAATTGGTTGACCGCTGTTGTTGTTAGTTTGATACGACATCACCTGAAGTAATCCAATGGAATTAGGACATCTAATGTTAGTTACCAAAACCCACCTTTGAAGCCATGTAGAAAATATTATAAATATTTCTAAATATAAATATAAGATATGATTTCCCAAATATGTAGACAAAATTAGAGTAAAGTTCGCAATGCCCCACTATAATGATAATGTTTTATTATATCACAGTCAGTAATTTAATGTTTAGCTTAGAATACCGTCAATTATTTAACGATAAAGGACACTTTAGAACATAAATATTTTAAAACTAAAATTATTTAGTTCGTGCAAATTTATAACACTTTAAATACACGAAAATACATAAACACAATATAAAAGCAAATTTTTTTGTTTAATAGCATATGAGGTCCTCAAATATTTCAAGAAAACTAATGTGTTTCTTGAATTTTCTTTTGCATATATTATCTTTTAAACTATAAAAAATCAATTTGATTATTTGATTAATAAAACTGAACATTGATTGTTATGATATTGACATGACAGATCATAATGACGATTTGATAATCTACATTACTGACGTGATAATCCACAATGAATGATAAAGTGATAAAAAAATTAAATTAATTTTTAATTGAATTCAATGATCAAATTAATTTTTTAATGTTTGAGAGTTGATTTAAATTTTTAAAGAAAGTAAAAAAATTATATATATATAACTAAGATTGATAATTATATATCAATTTAGATTAATAGAAACCAATAGCTGAGATTATTATTATTACTTGAAGAATCGGATTCGAGCATTATAAATATTAGGAGTGTGAACGTTAATATTAAAAGGTTAATAACATATATTATTATCTACTTACCTCACATATTAATAAAAAAATAGCCGAGATTGTAAATAAACTTATTAATAATTGTAAAACCCCAACCTAGTACGTGTTGGTCTCGAAGCTCTTCATGGATTGCATTCCACGTGCATGAAATAGCGTGAATTTAGTAACTTCCCGACAGCACAGCTCTCTCGTTAGTGTCCCTCTAAAGACCTGTTCCAAACTGTAACATTAACAAGAAGAAAACCCTTCTCTCTTTCTCTCAAGCATACATACATACAAAGAAGAAGTGAAGAACACAATTCAAAAGAAGAAAGCTTGAAATCTCAGAAAACAAGAACAATTGTGATCGAGTTATTCAGCCATGGATGAAGAGTAGGATGTGATAGTTCTAGGGACCGGCCTTAAGGAATGCATTCTCAGTGGCGTTCTCTCCGTTGATGGACTCAAAGTACATTCCACCCTCTGATTTAATCAATTTTTCATCACTTTCTTCCGTCTCATTTCTATCTTCTGTTTGGTTCGAACGAAAATATGAAATCTGGGTTTTCCTTTTACGATTCAGTTTCTTCCAGTTGCTTCGTATTATATTCTGCATGTTGTTTTTTGCCTGTGACAGGTACTGCACATGGATAGGAATGACTATTATGGTGGAGAGTCGACCTCTCTTAATCTTGTGCAGGTCATCATTGTTCTTTGATGAATGAAACCTTTGGTCTTTTATATTTTCCTTTGCTGTTTTCTGAATCTCGTCTTTCTTCTTTTGCTATGGCGTAGCTTTGGAAACATTTCAAGGGAGATGATAAGCCTCCAGAAAAACTTGGATCAAGCAGGGATTATAACGTTGATATGACTCCCGAGATATGTATGTATGTATGTATGCATGCATGTATTTATGTATGTATATGTAATGAAAATGCTTTCATTGATTGGTTTCACAGTTCATGATGGCCAATGGAAGTCTGGTTCGTATTCTGATCCACACCAATGTCACCAACTTCAATGCTGTGGATGGTAGTTATGTCTACAATAAGAAAAAGTAAGAGTATAGTATGCATGCATGCATGCATGTATATTAATAATGGTTTCGGATCGATCTTCCAATATTTTATGCGAGCCATCTGAATCTTATACAATGTTCTGCTTTTATATCGTATTCAGTTCGAGTCCAACAATAATTAAATATACATAATTGATCAATGATTTACATTTATGCATTTACTAATTATTAATGAGTTTCGAAAAGCATACAAGTATTAGTGTATTACCTTGGTTTTTGAGCCATATTGATCGGTCCAATAAACTCCATTCGATCACCCTTGAACTCACCACATTCTAATATCTCATATACATAGCAAACGAATTTACGTCAGAAACGTAGCTTAGTCGGGAAAAATGGATCGAATTAGGAAATAACGCTAAAAAATAGCTTACAAAGTTTGAATTTGACGAAACAAACTTCAGATTCGAACTCAGGACATCAAAAAACATAAAATATGACTTTTCAAATTTTTTAACTTTTTGACTAAAATCATCTCTGATCAAATTTAACGATGTGAGTTGACTCAAATGAGCTGACTTAACACGAGTTGATTCAGTGAACCGATTCAAATCAAAACAATATAGTTTAATCGGACCGATTTAGCCATGTCCGATCCAATTGGACTGATTCCAGAAGATTCCCTGTCGGTCGAGAAGCCCCACGCACGACGATGGTTTTTTCGAACGAATTCTCTCGATATCATGACAAATGACGGCCAATTAGGGAGACAAGCGATCGGGATTAGGTCACACAACGATGGCAGAGCTGAAGGTCGTGGTGGTGCAAACCACTGCTGGTTGGCGGTGATTGAACGGAGGAACAAGCTGCTTAGGTCGGAGGAGTATTGCTTTGGAAGATTCTGGGTTTGGTTCGTTGCACCCTGGGGAGACACTCATTTTGGGGATTTAAAATCCCAATAAGATAAGATTAATAATTATTTTAACCATTACTTCAGTAACAGTGGTCTAGCCTGATGGCTAAGGCATAACTCTCCGAACATGAGGTCATGCGTTCAAAGTCTCCCAACCAGTTTCTCATCATTTTTTTTTCATGCTGACAAGGGTTGGGAAATTTCATGAATAGGCCCCTTTACTTCCTTAAAATTCAAAAATACCCCAAAAATTTCAAAATATTGCAAAATGATCCCCTAAAACTTTAATTAATATTTTGCCCCTTCGCAGTGTGGCATAAATGGTCAATTGTCACATCCAATCAATGGTCGATCATCATGATCGATTTAAGTAACTTTTAAGGATTTGAATGTTTAAAATGAAATATTGCATTTATACCACAGTTGGGTGTTTAGTCCTTGTGAAATTACGAGAGTTTTATTTGTGGGTGGTTCACTGGTCACATGTCATTGCATATTTGGTCAATTGACGGTGTTGATGGCGGGCAATAGTGATAAAGAGATTAAAGTTAGGGTTTTAAAAGTTTTGATTTTTTAAAGATTTGAGAATATTTTAAGTTTTTTTTTATAGAAAAATATATATTTTATTTTAAATAAGATTTTTTAAAATTACAAAAACACGACAAATGTCACTTAACAAAATTTTTAATGGTGATTATAATCCGGACATCTAAAATGGTAACGTTTGTATTGTTAGACAATTAGATTGACAAAAATTAGACACCTATTTAAGAAAAATGATATAATTTATACACTTATTTTTATATTAATCCTTGTTATTATTATTAACATATACACAAATTAATTATTAATATTTTATTTTTAGTTAAATTAATCAGATTTGCACGAAAATAATAAATTGATTAATAATAAATAATTATAATTAATATGAGATATTTACGTACACCAAATTGTTTACGTGACATATTAATATATACATGAAAATAATTTAAAATTATAGAAAATTTATAAATTATAAAATCTATAAAAATGATAAATATTCTGAAATTTGCTTTCTCTTTAATTCGAATTCAATTTTTTAAATAAATAATAAATATATTTATTAAATTAACTTTTTACATAACATATTCGTGATTTAAAAAATTATTTTTTTGACGGATTCGTATTTTAAAAATTAAAGATTATTTTCTAAAATAATATTGAAAATTATTTTTCTTGAATAATTATCTGGATCAAATTGAAAAAAAAAAAGTTTCATACCCTGGTTGCTCTACGTCAATCTGACTTATTCAGGTGCCCTTCCACGTGTCTTTCAGTGGTACAGACCGTAAATATCATCATTCCGATGGGCTTTTTCTAATTTTCTTGTCATGCCCTTTTTTCTCCTTCCTCTTCCAATCTCTTTCTTCTCTTTCTCCTCTCGCTTCACTTGAATTAATATTTTCCTTAACACAAACTTTTTAAATTATAATAAATTTATTATTTTTTGGGGAAAATATTTTCACCCAAAGTTTTCAATTCCTTCCTATGCTTCTTTAATTATTGTTCCCCCTCCCTTTTTTGAAAATTTTTATGGTAAAAAAGTTTGTGATAATTCGGATGCAAAAGGAATGGCGAATTTGAACCACCAGCAGATATCCATGTACGATTAAGATGCCATGAACTTACAACAGAACTTGGAAGAAGAGCAAGACGATAACGTCCCTAGAGGAAGCGGCGATGGAGGCGGTGGAGGGGAAGAATCGGTGGATAACCCTCGGATCGGATACCAAGAAAACAGCGGCGTTCTTACTGTTATGAATAATGGCATGGAAGAGCCTTCTCATGCCCATATTTACGGAAAAGGATCCGATTTACCCGGTGGTTCCGGTAATGCTGGCGCCGATCAGCTCGCCCTCTCATTTCAGGGGGAAGTCTATGTGTTTGATTCGGTTTCTCCTGATAAGGTTCGTTGCTTTCTGCATCTGGGTTAAGGTTGATTGGATTAATTAATGGATTTATTTGTGAATTTGGTGCATTATTTAGCCCTTTTTTTATGTTTTAGTGATAATAATATAGCTGAAAATCATTGGTTTCTGCATCTTTGTTTTTGGGGAGGTATAATAATTGCCTTTACTCTAATGAAGAAAGGTCCTGTTCCATTTCGCCTCAATTTACATACAAATATGGTGTAGCTTGTCTGCTTGTTATGCTGTGCGTTTGTTTATGATATTTCTTCGTGTTCTTATGTTGCATTTATGGTGTAATTCTTTGTGTTTGGTGTTTTCAGGTACAAGCGGTATTGTTACTTCTAGGTGGATATGAAATCCCTTCAGCCATTCCTGCAATGGGGGCAGTTCCTGTTAGTCAAAGGGTATGCCGGAGATTAACAGTTCCGGTTTGTTCAAGGAAGTGTTTTGTTTCATGTTTTGTACTTTTATTGTGTTCTCCTAGGGTATGAGTGACTTTCGTGGGAGGTCAGTTCAACCACAGAGGGCTGCTTCTTTAAATCGGTTCAGGCAGAAGAGGAAAGAGCGGTGCTTTGATAAGAAAATTCGCTATACCGTGAGGAAAGAAGTGGCTCTCAGGTATTCATATGATCGGTTTCTCTACTTTCTCCACTTGGAGGTTGTTTTTTTCAAGCCACTTTCTAACATGTTAGATGTGGTTTTTCAGGATGCAACGCAACAAGGGACAGTTCACATCAGCCAAGGCAGTTTCCGATGATGTAGCCTCAGCCTCTTCGGGATCAAATGGGACGCCAGGTTCTGGACAAGATGAGCAAGAAACTTTGTGAGTAGATTTTCCTATGATCGGGTTTTTCTTTCAATGTATAACTGGATGGTGTTAGACCTTATTTAACGATGTTAGTTTCGAGTTTGTACTCCAGCTATCGATTGTTGTGTGCTAGTAGAAGGGACTTCTGTAGATATGTTCTTTAATTTCCTACTGTTTGGCGTAAATTTTCTGTGTAGATGTAGGCACTGCGGAATTAGTTCTAAGTCCACCCCTATGATGCGGCGTGGACCTGCTGGTCGAAGGACTCTTTGTAATGCTTGCGGACTCAAGTGGGCAAATAAGGTTTGTGAAATCACAAAATAGTTCTTTCGTAAGTCTATTCCTCGCTTGATTGCATGCGGGCTCAAGAGATCATACCACGTGATGGTTGACAGTCCACACACTTTTCGATGATCGTGTGTTCTTTGTGATTCTAATGATATTTACTTGCACAAGATTATGATAAATCGTGTGATTGTTAGAACAGCACATCTCTGGAGTATGACCTGTCGAGAGGGGAAGCCATGGACCATCCTTGGCCCTATAGGTTTGCTATCAGTGGCTCGAGTTTCTTAGATCGGAATTGTAGGAAAATCATCTTTCTTGGGTGCATAATCAAGCAATCCTTAAAAGTTCGTCAAAAGCCTAAGTTTCTTATCTAATGATCTAACATAAATGATCTCTTGATATTCTTAGATGAGGACAGGCAATCTTTCTTGGCCCTTATAGGTTTGCTATCAGTTGCTCGTGTTTCTTAGATCGGAACTATAGGAAAAGCATCTTTCTTGGGTGCATAATCAAGCAAACCTTACAAGTTTGCCAAAAGCCTAATTTTCTTATCCAATGATCAAACAGAATGATCTTGTGACGTTCTTAGATGAGAACAGGCAATAAAATCAAAATTTTAAGAGATTTTAACATCGAGATTCTTCTTTCGTACTAGAAGTCTAGTAACTTGCAGAAATCAGCCCATCTATCAGAAAGTGATAAATCTTCCATAATCTTCTGTATTTTCTTTGGTTTTTTTCAATTGGGAACTATTGATTTGCAGGGTGTTTTGAGAGACCTTCCAAAGGTCTTCACTGCAGCAATCCAGGATCCGACTGCGAAGACCACCGAGCAGGTATTGCCAACTCATAAACCAATATCGATCATAGCGATTCATTACTTGTTTTCATCTAGTTATTTCCCAAAGTAGTCTATAAGTCTTATTAAATCGTGTTACTTGACGGGGTGTTCATCAGAGCGATGCTGAAGCTAACGACGCGGAGGCTGTAACTGCACCTACAGATGTTGTATCTTCATCGAACGGAGATAACTCCACTGTCACCGCCGAAAGATGAGCAGCCGGTTCCGTCGATTACGGTGAGTGCTATGTTACTAGCTGGTTGGTAGGCAGATGTGGAACTTTGTTGTAAAAAACAGGTATATATATGGTTTTTCATTGTTTCGCTCATTTATGTAACGAATTGCGGAATCGTGAGATTGCGAGATACAGCCTAATCAGTGCCTGTAACTTAGGAGTAACAAGAACAACAGAACTCGAGTGTTTATGTTAGAAAATTTTCTTCCATGGCAGCTTGTTTTTGATCTTTTCCTTTCTCCTGTCCAACACAATTCTCTGCTCATCGTCTTCTCGACAACTATAAATGATCAAACCGTATCGTCTTCTCGACAACTACAAATGATCAAACCGTATCGGATCGTGGCCGATTAGGTTCATTATCAGTCATGTCGGGTTCAATAGTTTACTAGTCGAACCTCCTTAAGGGTTTAACTATTTGGTGACTGAAATGAAAGTTTTTCTTTTTCTTGGATTCTTTTGAACAAAATGGAAACTTATTCCGTCAATTTGAGATATGAATATATCCCTTCTTAACTAATTATTTTATCTATTTGTTATTTAATTAATTTTAATTAAAACTAATGAAAATATAATTATTTTAAACACTATTAAATTAAATTATATATTTTTTCCCCATTAATCTGGGGTAAGTAAAAGAGTAGTATATATTTATTGAACGCTCACACCCTTGGTATTTCTAATATTCAAATCCCGAGACCTTAAATAATTACAACAATTCTTTCAATTATATCTTAAAAATATATATATATTTTTAATTAATATAAATTTATTAATTAAGTTATTATATGACCGATAATTATACTTTCTTTTTCTCATTTCTTTTAATTTTCTTCTTCTCTTTTAATACTTTTTTTTTATATAAACATTAATTGAATCTTAGTTGGTTAATACTTTTGTATATCTTAATTCCAAATATAAATTTATATAATTATCTTAAATTTATAAGTTTAAAAGAAGCAAGAAATTTATGTATTGTATAAACTAGATTTCAAGTTAATTATATATTAATTATGAGATGCATGATTTTTATTTTATTTATTTACATTTGTATTGTAATTAATTTTTATTAGATTTAAGCATTCTAAGTGATTATCGCTAATTAAATTTAAATAAAAAAATATTACCAACATTGATACAATTAAATTAAATATAAGTTTGAAATACTTAATTTTAGTTTAAATTTGAATATAATTTTAAAAAATTTTAATTTTACAATATTTCAATATAGTCAATATTTTATTTTATAAATTAAAAATCAAAGAAAATTAACGAAAGTAAGGCTTAAGTACACAAATGGTCCCTGATTATAGTGCGCTATTTTATTAAGTCCATCGATTATTAAAAGTTACAAAATGATCCTTCGACTATATATTGTTGCTTTGTTGAGTCCCTCAACTATTAAAAGTTACAAAATGATCGTCCAACTACTCATTATGTTCCAAACCTGTCTTTTTCTGTTAAAAAATTAATGACATTCTCAGCTGAAATGTTAACCTACTGATTGTGATATGATAAAATATGATCTCAAAATCTCAAACAATTGTTATATCTCAGTCGTCATGTTAACGTCAAACTTAGATAACATCTAATTTTTTAAATGAAAATGATGAGTTTAAAATATAATGAATAGTTAGACGACCATTTTGTAACTTTTAACAGTTAAAGGACTTAATAAAGTAACATTCTATAATTAAAAGACTATTTATAACTTTTAATAATTGATAGACTTAATAAATTAATATCCTATAGTCCGGAATCATTTGTCATACTAAAAATAAATACACGATAAATAGTAACGGATGGGTATAACTGCGACTAATCAAACCGTAGTAGTAAAACAGTCTTATAAAATTTAATCTTACTTTAATTACCCGGTTCCTCAGCAAACCCCAAGAACCGTTTCTTCGTGGAATCCAACATCCCAACAAGAGCACTCAACCGATAGATAGATAGATAGATCTTTCTCTCTTTGCCATTTGGCATCATTTTGAACTTCCATTTTTTCCCTTAAGAAAAAACCCATCAGAAGTCGCCGATCGCTTTCACCGCCGGCGAAATCGCGAGTCGTTCTCGTTGAAGTTCGATAAACTTTGGTGATTTAGGGATTATTTAAGTGTTTGTGTTGGAATTGATGGGGTTTTTTAGTACTATTTTGGGTTTATGTGGTTTTGGAGTTGGGATTTCGGCGGGTCTTTTGATCGGTTACTATCTCTTCATCTTCTTTCAGCCTAGCGATGTCAAGGTACTCTTTCATCTCTCTCTCTCTCTCTCTATGTTGTGTTAAATTTAGTACAGAACGTATTTTATGCTTGCCCCTCTTTGTTAGATTCGATTCTTAATTGTTTTTCTGCATCTTTCGTTGTTCTGTAACAAGTTGATTTGTCGTGAATGTTTGATGCCTATTATTGTTGCTGATTGACGGTGCTAGGAATTGTTTCTTTAGTCATTTTGCATCCCTTGAAAGGCTTTCGTAACTGGTGGAAGCTGTAGCAGTCAAATGCTAGTGAAATCGTATGGGATTAGTCACAGATGCACTTACATCGTTTGAAATATTACTTAGTTATGATTCTAGTAGCAGGGTCCCTAGAGCTTAGCTTAACAATAATAAGCAACGTTTCGGATGAATTGGACACTTTTTTTCTCTTGAAGTACCCACCTCTGACACCCAAGTTTGACCATGGCTGAATATGGGTACGGGGATATAATCCTCCTAAGAGCTAAATAGTGAAATCTAGGGAAAAAGCTGAACATATTTGTGTTAGATACGCACCCAAGTTTGAGTAACATTGCCTCACCTAATCATTTTTTTTCATTTGTTCATGGTAAATGAGGAAAAAACAACATATAGGGAGAGCTGAAGGAAAGAATGTTTTATCATATATGTGCTGCATTTTGTCAATATTTTATACCTGCTACCTGTATTTGCAATTTTTTTGGTGTTTATTTAGGCCCATGTTTGCTTTATCAGGATCCTGAAATCCGTCCATTGGTTGAGCAAGACTCAGAGACTTTACAAAGGATGCTTCCAGAGATACCTCTATGGGTAAAAACCCAGATTATGATCGTGTACGTCAATATCATTAGTCTCTGTCACATTCTTCCAGGCCCTTCTACATATATTTTATTGCCTTTTACTATGTTAACTGCATTTTTCTTTTTGTTGTGGTGTATGTGAAGGTTGACTGGATAAACAAGTTTTTGGAATATATTTGGCCTTATCTTGACAAGGTTTGACTTCTAGTCCAAACAAACTTCTATTTTAATGACATCTTCTTATCTGTTCGTTATTGGATCTTTACTCATTTTTGTTTACTTACTCCTTGTAGGCCATTTGCATGACTGCCAAGAATATTGCCGAACCCATAATAGCGGAGCAAATTCCCAAGTACAAAATTGATGCTGTCGAATTTGAAAAGCTTACATTAGGATCTTTGCCGCCAACTTTCCAAGGTTGATCAATCAATTACTTTTCTAGGATCAATTGTTATGATGTTTGCTAAATTGTTGAATAAGTCGGTTTTTCACATTGACAAAAATGGTCATTATCTATGCTTGTCCAAATAATATGCTCCTCATTCTGAGATAAGTTTTGTCTCAGTTGAAGGAAAAGGTATCTCCCCTCCCCAACAAAACATCCCACACATGAGCACACTATAGTTTTGGTCCCAAATGTTTATAGGTGAAAGCAACATACTCTTAGGAGACCTTAGTGCTTAATGTCTTGGACCAGTGATCCTAGATTTTAAGGTCCAAAAGATCAAAACTAAATTTTGCAGCGTATGTAATTTCTGTCTTTCTTCTTCCTTTTTTCCCCACAGATTTGGTACTGAACTTGTTGCTTTTCTTCCTCTTGATAGGTATGAAGGTGTATGTCACAGAAGAAAAGGAGTTAATCATGGAACCATTAATAAAGTGGGCTGCAAATCCTGATGTTACTGTTTCTGTAAAAGCATTTGGCCTAAAGGCAACTGTCCAGGTTGTTTTTTTGTCCTATCATAAAGGAGAATATTTTTTTGACAGTTAACTACTTGTGTTAAGAGAGGATAGAGTAGGTTGTTTGTTAATTATGTGTTGCTTGGATGATTTCAGGTTGTGGATTTGCAAGTATTCGCTCTGCCACGTATTACCTTAAAGCCTTTGGTTCCAAGCTTTCCTTGTTTTGCAAATATCTTTGTGTCCTTGATGGAGAAGGTTTGAGATCATGGATGGAATTAAATTCTGTATCTATTGTTTAAATCTCTGATGCATCTGATGTTTCATTTGACCAAGTATTTTTAACTGCAAATTCTGTGTCCATGTCAAATTTGCCCCTTCTTAGACGTAATTAGTTTGTACAAGTAAATTAATGTCACAGTATTTTGACTTTTTGATGAATCGTGATTAGTTCTCTTTTCTCTTAATCATTTGTCTTCTTATCTGCAGCCACATATTGACTTTGGGTTGAAGCTTATCGGGGCTGATCTCATGTCCATACCTGGTCTTTACAGGTTTGTCCAGGTAAAATGCCATATGATGTTCCCTCTAAATCTCATTTCCTAGTTTCTTACCCGAGTACTTGATAAACATGGCTTTATTATATGTTTGGTGCGTTTCTTTTACCAAAAGTTCAATTGGTTTAAGTCATATTTTTTCTTTTCCTTTTAGAGGCCCAAATTTTAGTATAGAAGTTGGCAGACCTTTTGTTAGTGATGAGTACATTTGTGCTAACTTTTTCAAGGATGACATCATATTTTGTAGAGATAGGGAAAACATCTTACCAAGGCCTCAGCTGGCACTATCTATATGATCTTATAGTTTATTTCTTTGGATTTTAAAAAAGGGATGCATGTGATGCAGGAGCTCATCAAAGATCAGGTTGCAAACATGTATCTTTGGCCAAAAACCCTGCAAGTACCAGTTCTGGATCCATCAAAGTATGTCTCAAGGATGCTCTCGTATTCTATTATCACTTGATCGGTATTTTTTTCTTTCACTCCTTTGGTATTAGCTTATACATTTGAACTTGCAGAGCTTTTAAGAGGCCCGTAGGAATTCTCCATGTGAAAGTTATAAGGGCAATGAAGCTAAAGAAAAAAGATCTTATGGGTGCATCAGACCCTTATGTTAAACTAAAGCTAACTGAGGATAAGCTTACATCTAAGAAAACCGCTGTGAAACATAAGAACTTGAACCCAGAATGGAATGAGGAACATAATATGATTGTCAAAGATCCCCAGACCCAGGCCTTGGAGCTTCATGTTTATGACTGGGAGCGGGTAAGATTTACAATTTTTTCCTTCGGTTTATTTGAAGTTCTATCATTTGTTTCTATTGTTACCTTAACTGTTTCTTCGCATTCTCAGGTTGGGAAGCACGACAAGATGGGAATGAATGTGGTTCCTTTGAAAGATCTTACTCCTGATGAGCACAAAGTTTTGACCCTTGAACTTCTTAAAAATATGGACTTAAATGATGCTCAAAACGAGAAGTCGCGTGGGCAGCTTGAGGTGGAGCTAACATATAAGCCCTTCAAAGAAGATGAAATACCAAAATCTTTTGATGAGTCAAAATCACTGCAGAAGGCTCCTGATACTACACCTGATGGTGGAGGGGTGCTTGTAGTCATTGTCCACGAGGCGCAAGATGTTGAAGGAAAGCACCACACGAATCCATTTGTGACAGTTCTTTTTAGAGGCGAGAAGAAAAAGACTAAGGTATATTATTGACAGTAGCCTTTAAAATATCCTTTTAAGAAATTAATATCTCGCTTTTGTTTGCTAGATTTTTTTGCAAAGTTCAAGGGTTGTTTTATAAGGAACTTTCTACCTATAAAACATTATGGAAAATTGTTTTAACCTTTACCCTAATTTTAAATATACACTATTTTGTTTCATATTCACCTGTTCTTGTCAGTTCATGCAAGGGTGCTCATTGGTTCCTTCGTAATTACATCTTTTCTTATATTTTTATGTTTATTTGAAAAAGAATCAAAGATTGTCAGCAAGCTTTCAACTCTATTGAATAATTGTGATATTGAAACCATATATAAGATAAGGTTCTGAGATTTTTTTCTCTCTGTAATTCCTACAAATGACATGCTTTTCAAATTTTATTGGTACAGCATGTAAAGAAAAACAGAGATCCAAGGTGGGAAGAGGAATTCTCATTTATGCTGGATGAACCTCCTGTTAACGATAAATTGCACGTGGAAGTCCTCAGCAGTTCGTCGGGAATTGGCCTGCTGCATCCAAAGGTGAGCTTTTGCATCATTGCGGGCATGTTTCGTAGCAATCAATTTATTTTGTTGCCAAATTTCAGTTTGGCATTCTATAGGCATAATTACATGACAATTGTTGTTCAGATGTTCATATTTCATCGTTGTTTTCCTTGTATTGAGATTTTGAAGATCATATATCAGATATTAATATCAGTTGCAAGGGGTGAATGTGTGATGACTGAATGAGTTGTATTGAGATTTATGCGGTTCATGTAAATAGAATTATAGCTGATATTTCATACATATGCTTGCTTATATGTGTTTTTGTTTCAACTGTTTTTGGCATTTTCAGGTTTTGTTTTTCCCGGTTTTCGCAATTACGTGACTGACGGGATTATTGTGTATTGAAACAGGAAACACTAGGGTATGTCGAAATAAATCTTTCCGATGTTGTTAGCAACAAAAGAATCAATGAGAGGTACCATCTGATAGACTCGAAGAACGGACGGATCCAGATCGAGTTGCAGTGGAGAACTAAATGACTCCATTTCTTGAATTCAGGATTACACCATACATACAGACACAGAGAAAACCCATTCCTTGAAATCTTGGATCTGTATTTGAGATTATGCTTCATTGTTGTTTGTTTGTTTTCTGTACATTAATTGAATGTAACAGTGATAATACTGCTCATAATAGCACTAAAAATGGAAGACTGGACCATGATTTGTTTGTGTTTTTGCTTTTCCCTTTCCATTTGAGCTATGTTTTGCCTTTATATGCTCAACTCTATCGAGTTTCGATTTGATTAGGGATAGTCATGGGTCGGCGGGGTATTAGACTTTCTTATTTTTTTAGGTAAAATAAATAAATAATTAAAAATATATAGAAAATAAGGGTATTACAGTTATTACATTTAAATATGTAATAGTAAATTATACTATTATTCTAAGGTTGAGTATTTTTTTTTTTAAAAAAGGGTTGAATTCAGATCCCATTAATTGTTCGAGTGGTCAAGAATTGATCGGAGTAAATTTGAATTTGACTTTATCTTAAAAAATATTTGACCTGATATGATTTAAACTTAATTTTCCTTAAAATTTAATCTTATAGAATTTAATCAAAACTTATAAAATTCAAATTAAACAATCATCCATAATTTCAACCCTCGACTTAACGATTAATATGAATAATTATTCTTCATTGTTACTGATTATTTACTTTGCATTTATTTATTTTGATTATTCGGATATCAAATTAAATTATAAAATATTTAAAGATATTAATTTTCCTATAGATTTTGAGTTCGAACAATATTACCTTCAAAAAATAGTGAATGGTCTTATCAATATACAAATTTATAACTCCCCAGGAATTTCAATTGTGCTTATATTCATCACTCTAGAAATTGGGCTCAAGCTTTCCCGAGCCCCTTGTCACCAATGGACTCCTGACATATACGAAGGAGTGTGGTTCGTAGGATTTGTACGAGTTGTCAATAGATTAATTTTTTTTGAACATATACTACTTTATAATTATCATAGACTAATAAGAAAGTTTAAAATATAATTTCATTATTTTTTTTTAAAAATTTATGATATAATCCAAACCATCTCATTAAATTATAAATAATTCATATATCAAGTATTTAAAATAATATAAATAATAAATTTAAATATATAACTTATTCATAGTATAGGGATTAATAAGAGAATATGACCAAAGTCATTTCTGGAGCTTTTGGGCAATCAACAGTCATCGTGCTCTTACTTAATAATCCCTTAACCAGCTAAACCCTCCTTCCTTATAAAACCCCGAACTTGCCGCCGCCGCCTCCATACCTCGCCGAAGCTCTGGTTAGTTTCTCCTCTCTTTTCTTTCAGATCTATGCTTAATTCAAACATTTTCTTTTCAAATTTATCTCTAATTTGTTTTTATTTAGCTTCCTGTTCCACCTGTTTTATAGGGTTTTCTCCATTCCTTGATTTTTTTTTCTTATTGGGTTATTTGGTATTGTTTTCATTTTGATACGTTGCCAAATTATATAGTTTTTTGAACTGAGCTTGATATATGGTAGTTTCTTATCCTTCTGTGATTGTTTCATGTTTGAGCTTGTTATTGGAACATTTCATTTGTTTTATAGGGTTTTCTTCATTCCTTGATTTTTTTTATCTAGGGTTATTTGGTATTGTTTTCATTCTGATACTTTGTCGAATTATCTAGGTTTAAAAAAAAAATGAGCTTGCTATGGAGTAGTTTTCTTATCCTTGTGATTATTTCATGTTTGAGCTTGTAATTGGAACGTTTCATTGTTATACAATTGAAGTAACTTGGATTTGAGGGTGATAAATATTGTTGATTTATATGTTAATGCTGTATCTGTTATTTGTGGAATTTCTGCATTTCTCCCCTTGTCTTTGGTTCCCATTTTGTTCATTCTATTTTTCAGGAAGGTCTGGTTCTCGCACAGCCCCTCGTCCTGCTCCGGCACGCAGCCCACCGCCTCGACCTGGTAACTAATGTTATTATATTTAGTGTATGATTTACGTAGTGATAGGAGTTTCATAGATTGATTAATCTTAGCATATGTGATTTTGATAAGTGATTCTCCGGTTGAGTGTCATGTTTAATTCCGTATAATAATCTTTCGTTGCAGCTCAACATGCACCTCCTCCAGCCCCTGCTCAGAGCGGAGGTGGGGGATCCCTTCTTGGAGGCATAGGTTCAACCATAGCTCAGGGTATGTGAATAGATCTCCTTCTGAGATGCTGGGCTATTTGCTTCTATTCCTATAATGATTCATCATTCTCATTTTAGTTGATTCTTTTCTTGATCTTTTCCAGGCATGGCTTTTGGCACAGGAAGTGCTGTGGCCCACAGGGCTGTTGATGCTGTTATGGGTCCTCGTACTGTTCAACATGAAACTGTGGTTTACGAGGCTGCTGCCAATAATTTTACCGGCTCTGATGCATGCAGCACACACTCTAAGGCTTTCCAAGACGTATGTGGAACTTCACCCTCTATTACTCGGTTCCTTGATAACTCTATTGTTTATTGAAACATAGAAGTTTTGCATGCCGTGGCTGACTTGGAACTTTGAATCTAAATCATGTTTTATCAAATGCTAGCAGTTAAAATCAGGGTTTCGATCCCGGGTTTTTACAGCTTCGGAACGTATAAGGTATAACAAAACAAATATACTGATATTCGATCGTTTGTGTTCCTTGTAGTGCCTGAACAGCTCCGGAAACGAAATCAGCAAGTGCCAATTCTACATGGATATGCTTTCCGAGTGCAGGAGGAACTCTGGATCAATGTTGGGTGCCTAAATTTATGCCTCATTTATTGCCCATGCATGGGATGTTAGCTTTGGACTTCTGTTTATCTATGTTTCCCCTCAATGATTCAATAATATCTATGGACTATGAATACTCTTAAGCGATACTTATTTTTACGGGTTTAACCTTGATATTACTATTGGAAGTGTCATCTTAAGTATATGATATTATTTTTACAGGTACAACCATGATATTATCATGTGAAGGCTCAACTTGGATCACACTTAGGGATGGGCATGGGATCCGAACCCAATGGGTTCCGACCCGACCCAAACCGATCAAGTTGGATTTAAAAAAAAGGGATTTGGGTCGGGTCAGGTTTTTTTTAAGTGTGATGTTCGGGTCGGGGTTGTGTTCGGGTTTAAGGTGAAAACACCCAACCCGACTTGAAAAAATATATAATTTTACATTATATATTTAAAAATAATTACAATAATACCCTATATATAATTTTTTTTAATTAAGTCATTGTTTTTATTGAATAAAAATAATATTTTTTTATTATTTTGGGTCGGGTCAGGTTTCTAAGTTATATATCAGGTTGGGTTCTGATTGGGTGAAATCTTATTTTAATCAGATCGGATCTCGAGTGGAAGATCCTTTGTTCTCGGGTCGGGTGGACCAAAAACCCAACCTGACCCATGCCCATCCTATTCACATTATAATTTAATTTTAAAGTTAAAATTAATCATCTAATCATCCATCTTACTTTATTAAATGGAATAAATATGTTATTAACATATCATTTTGAGAATAAATGAGAAAATTATTAACATATCATTTATTTATAGCACTATCGATATTTAAATTAGATTTATTATTAAACGACTCTCTCAATCTGTCTCCATTTACAATATTAAGATTCGAACTACTAATTTTTCTTAAATATCTCGACTCCTTGTCCTCCCTTTTTTAAACTATCTATTTTAGTTAAGATTTGAACTCTTGATTTCCTCTAACTTCTAGTCCTTTAAACAAATGCAACCTCAAATTTTAACCTTTATTTCATCTCTAAACTTTCAACATTTTAATTTCATCCTTCTACCATAGATTTTATTTTAAATTGATTCTCCAATTTTTGAATGTTTCAAATTCATCTTCAAATTACAACCCTCAATCCCAAAACTTTTGAACATTCTGCATTCATCCTCAAACTTTTGTATGATTTTGAGGATTTTATTGGAACGTTCAAAAGTTGGGAAACTATTTTAGAATGAGAGTCATGGTTTGGGAATGAATTTGAAACTTCTAAAAGTTTGGAGAACAATTTAGAATGAGAGTCATAGCTTAGGGATGAAATTGGAATGACCAACAGTTTATGGATCGATTTAGAATGAGTCGTAATATAGGGTTATATAGTGCAATTAACTCTTTTGTTAAACAAAAGGTTTGAACTCTTAAGTGGAAAGTGGAATATGAAATTATTTAAAACCTGCAAATTTTATTAACTCAGAGAACACACCAAAATCAAAGTTTCAAAAACAAGCACAGCTCTCAAAAACTGCCTAAACTCTTAAAAACTTGTCAAAAAAGGGTTCCTATCTACAATTCATCTTTCTGAAAATTGAAAATTCTCCGAATCCACAATCACTGTAAACCCGAAATGACCGAAAACACGACCGCGACTTGAAAACCTGGTCTAAATCATAGCCTACCCTTGAGGAAACCGGTGCACAGTTTCTTCCATGCTTCCTTATCAGGCTCCACTTTCACCAGCCCTGCCTTCAGCACATCAGCATACGCTTCCTGCATTATACATACAAATTGTCGATACTTGATTCAAATCACTATAATCATCAATGAGCTTGGAATTGATCCGACGGTCGATGTACGTACTTCGATAAAACTAAGCTGCAAGAGGCGGTCAATCAGGTGGAAAAGAATGTCTTTGGTGTACTCGGGGTGGCCTTGGATTCCGAGTATATGATCGCCGCACCTAAACATCTCGACACCGGTCTTCTCGGACCATGCGATCACCTCCGCCTTCGGCGGGAGTTCTCTAACCTATAAGCCACGTTCAGAACAAAGATGTTTCAAACGCAACGTGTAGACATGTTTCGAACATAACACGGAACGATGATGTTTCGAACCTCGTCACGGTGGCACTCGATCACCGAAAGAGTGGTCGGGATTTTCAGGGACGAGAAGAGCTTCGACGAAGACGATGACAAATGAATGGATGTCACCCCAATGTCCCACCCCGTGATGGCTCGCCCCGTTTTCCCTCCCAGTGCTCGACTAAGAATCTGAATCAAATAACAAAAACTATTATATTTTAATTTCAGTTTAAAATATTGATAGTATTTATCCAAGTTTTTAAATTTTATATTCAATTATTTATCTACTTATATTATATTTTAAATTTTATATCGTGTTTTGAATTCGAATTTAAAATCAAAGGCACTTCAACTAAATATCAAGTTAATAATAAAAATATCGAATTTGAGAAACTATTAAATCTATCACATAGTAATAAAAAATATAAAAAATTTAAGTTAAAATTATTACTTCTATCACAAATTTACATTTAATATATTGCTAAAATTTTCTAGTGGAAAAAAAAAATAGAAGGTAAAGAAATCAAATTTAATTATTATTCTTCGTAATTATTTTTAAAAACTAGTTTTAAATTTCATGTATAGTAATAATAAATAATTTATATATATATAATATTTCGATTTAAAATATTAAAACAAAAGTTTAGGCAAAATTAGATGATTGATTTTCATCCATGCAATCCGAAACTGTCGATTACGATTCATTTACAGCTAAGATTTTCCCGAGAAAACCACGAATTCGAAGGGAGGGGAAAGAAAAAGAAAATACCTGATGACCAAAGCAAATCCCGAGAACTTTCTTGTTCAACGAATCCAATTTGCTCAAAAGAGCAATCAACTTGCAGATCCAAACATCGTTCCCGTGCGCATCGTTGCAACTCCCGGTTATAACGAATCCATCGAAATCGGCGATCCCGTCATCGTCGGGGAACTCTCCATTGGCCACCTTGAAAACGTCCCAAGTCTCGCCCTCTTCCGCCAGCATTTCGACGAAAACGCCGTAATAACCGCCGTGCCTCTTCTTGACGTAATCCGAATCCTCCGCGCATAGAAGAACAGCAAATCTCTTCCCACCACCCATGATAATTTCAAAATTCCCTTTAAAACAAAACAAAATCAGAATCAAATCAAAAGCAAGTTCCCTCTCCCTCTCTCTCTTGATATATATATATATAAATATATATATTGAAGGCTTAAAGATTGAGACTTTAGAGAGAGGAAGAGAGGGAAATAGATCAAAATTTTCTCTCTCAAAAATTTTCAGAGTGGGAGGTATTAAGAGTGAGATTCACTGTTCTTGGTGTTGTTTTATACTATAGGGATGCACAGACTTTGAGCGTTTTGGATTTTTATTATAGTAAGGTTTTGGTAACGTTAATTACAAATATGGCCTCGGTCGATTCGGATATTTTATATTTTAGATTATTGAATTTAATTTTAATATTTTTTATAAATCATAAATTTTTAATCTCAGTTAATTATATTATGTAATTTTTATTATTAATAAATTAAAATATAAATAATAATATCTTTTGGTAATTATAACAAAAAAAATTATATTAGTATTTCTCTTTAATATATTTTTACATATCATCTTTAAATAATATTTAATTTACATTTTAAATAAGGGTAAACTACATGAATGGTCACTCAAATATAATTAAGTTTTCATTTTCATCACTGAAATTTCAAAAGTAACAAAATAATTACTAACATTATTGTTTTATAACAAATCGATCACTCAACCGTTTAAAAACGTCACTACCGTCACATAAATGACGTGGCACATTTTGTAGCTGAGTTAGCATTGTTTGGCCATGCTGGCACCATTTGACTAGTTATTTTGACTCCCACTTAAAGAAATATATAGATTTTTTTAGTTTGGTTTACTTTTTGAAAAGGAGGAAAAGGCCGCCGGCGGTGTTGTCACTGCATCTTCTCCAATGATGAGGAGGAGCTGACGTCAACAGTAAAATGGAGCGGAAAAGAGTACATTGTTTGAGTTTGCGATGATGATTCAGTGATCGAGTTCAAACGAAAAATCTGCCAGGTGACGAATATTTTACCCAAAAGACAGAAGCTTTTATACTGTTATACCCTAAGATCGGAAACAAACTCTCCGATGGCTCCCTTTTGCTCTCTCAAATTTCCCTCAAGCCCTCTCTCAAGATGACCGTGATTGGAATTGTCGAAGATGTATTGTTGGTCCGGTTGAGATTCTGGAGATTATTGATGACTTTGATATTGGGCAAGGTGAAGTTGTTGATATCAAAGATAAAGAGGTTAACGAACAGAAACTAAAGAGACACGTTGATAAATGAATAAATGCGTGAGGGAAGGATATTGTATCATCAGTTTGGAAAGAAACTAAATTAATAAAGTGGTGGTGAAGAAGGGAAACGACGGCGAAACTAATGAGAAAGATGACGGTGGTGTGTACGCTGATGAAACAGGTGCTGACAATCATGAATCTGTTTATGACAGCGATGACTCAATGCCTTCCAATGCTGGGCCGGGGAAGAATATGGCTGGAAAGGTGGTAATAGGGAAGCCGAAGAAGATGTGGTAGTACCGACTGGATTCTAGAATAACAACTGAATCATCACCGCAGACTTGAACCGTATTCTCTTTTCCGTTCCATTTTACAGTCAGAGACAGTTCCTCCTCTGTCATCGAAGAAGATACAGCGACAGCACCACCGGCGTCCATTTCCTTTTCCTCTTTTTCAAGTAGTAAACCAAAAACACAAAGAATCTATATCTATATATTTCAAATGGGAGTCAAAATAACTAGTCAAATGGTGCCAACATGGCCAAACAATGCTAGCTCAGCTATCAAACATGTCACGTCAAATCTCTGTGACAATACTAACGGTTGAGTGAGCAATTTGTTAAAAACGATAACACTAGTGATTATTTTGTTATTTTTGAAAATTCAGTGGTAAAAATAAAAACTTACTCATACTTCAGTGACCATTTGTGTATTTTACCCTTTAAATAATTTGTGATTAGAATTATTTAATAATATAATATAAGTGATTTTTTTCATTAATAATAAGTCGAACGATATAGCTTGATTAAATTAAATACTTATAATATACAGAAAAATTAAAGTTAAGTTTTATGGTTTATATTATTTTTAGTAGTTAATAGATTTATTATTATTATTTTTTAAATTTTGGGTTTAAGTACCGCGTATACATGAATATGAGCGTTTATTGTCAGAAAATTTAGAGTTATTGAATGAATGCGCTATCTCGTGTTCACTCTAGATTTATCAACAAAAGAGATTTAAGATTTTGACCCATCAAGTAATCTCAGTGGCTTAACGAAATGTTATTCTTCCTAAAAATTATGAGTTAAACAGTTATGTCCGAAGATTTACTACGGATTTATGTTGACGGAATTTTACTGAACATATATTACTTTATAACCACACAACAACCGTTCAAAAATTTAAAATTTTCCAATGATGCGTTATCATTTGAATCACTAACGATGCATAGAGTTAATACGTTAAACATCAAGTAAAATTACATGTTGAGTTAAGATTACTAAAAACTTTTTTACTCACTTACATAATACTTCATTAATTTTAAAATAATTGTTTAATAATAGTAAAAGGTGGAAATGATTCATATTTAAGATTATCTTTTTAATAAGATTAACAATTTCTATTCAAATAAAAATTCTTACAATGTAGCGATGTGTATAAGATATTGTATACAGTGGCGGATGCAAAGCATATCCAGGGTGGGCACGTGCCTACCTTAAAATTCGAATTTCTTTATATTAGTTGTCCATTTTACTATGGGTGCCCATCTTGAAATTTTATTTGTGTCAACCCATACGAAAAATTTCAATAATTAATATGTGTGCTCACCCTAAAAAATATTTTTAGATCCGTCATTGCTTGTATATGAATTTATTGATTATTATGATTGATATAATACTCTTGTAATGAGCATGTTTGAATTTGCTAATGTGGTTGAACTATTAGGTTATAAAGTTCTAATTAAGTTGTGTCGTAGAAGGAAGGATAAGAGTCGATCAGGGAAATAATTAGGCTTAATATAAAAATAATTCTCTAAATTATATTCAAATTTGCTTTGTTTCGTTAAATTAAAATAAAGTTAGTCATCCAATCAAATGGTGACATGTGGCACAACACGTGACACCAGTGACACATGGCATCATCCGATTTGAGGATTAAATTTATTTTAATTTATTAAAAGTATGACTATATTGAGAGAATATGTAAATAACATGGACCAAATATATGATTATACAAAAATATTTAACAACAGTTAATCTGTGTTACCAAATCTTAAATAAATAAAAATAAAAGTGACTATATTTTAATTAAATAAAATCGAAGGTGATCCTATCTTATGTATTTTGAAATCATTGACTAAAAGTAGACAAAACACAAACATAAATGATCATCCGTGTAATTAACCCTAAAAAATATAACATTTTTAGTTTGACCCAACTGAAAATGTTAATTTTTTTTCTTAATAGTTTTGATTCAATCGAAAATATTGTATTCTCTATAACATTTCAGTTGGTAATTAAAAATATTATATTTTTTATAATATTTTTAGTTTAACCGAAAATATTAAAAAAAATTAATATTTTAGGTTACTTCAAACAAAAAATATTATATTTTTTTAATCAAAATTTCAACCTCACTCATTTTATGTTGTTCCTTAATTTAGATGATTGTATATTAAACTTCCCCATATAACCATATAATTGCACGTGTTAAGGAACCATTTTCAACATGCCGAGTGCCGACCACCCCTGGGGATGGACATGGATAGGAATGATAATTTAACTTCAATCTGATGGTTTCGATCTAATATGATCGTATTTTTTCTTAAAATTTGGGTTCGGGTTGGATCAAAAATTTTTAAGGGCTGAAGTCGGGTTGGGTCAAGTTTAGGTGGATGGTGAAAATAACAATTTGACCTGACTCGAAGATAATAATGTAACTTTCTTTTAAAAATATATATATTTTAATTAATTCCTTATTTTATACCGGATCGGTTTAGTCGAGACATATTTATATTCTAAAATTTTTTGTCGGGATAGAATTGGATGAAGGATATATATTTTTCGGGTTAAGTCGAATGAAGAATATGTAATTTTCGGGTCGGGTTGGGTTTGAGTGTGATACATATTTTTTGGGTTGGGTTGACTAAAAAGTTGACCCTAACTCGAACTGTTGCCATCCTAGGCATGGATCGTTCGATTTTTCGGTCAATCTGACCTGACCCGAAAATATATGAACTCTATCCGAAATTCGACCCAACCTGAGTTTATAGTGGCTTCACTTGATCCAAATTCGATCTAATTTTTTGAGATAAAACTCAAACTCGACCTGAAATAAATATATTTTAAAAAAATATTATTTTTATTCAATAAAAATAAGGATCTAATTGAAAAAAAATAATGTATACAAAGTTATTATTGTAGTTATCTTCAAATATATAAGGTAAATTTACATTTTTTTTGTTGGGTCGAGTAATCTATTTTTCACCCTAAACAAAATTCGACCCAATCAAAACATATTTTCTAGAAATCTAAACCCAAAAATAAAAAAAAATAACTCGATCGAATCAGAATCTATCAAATTTAAATCTTGTGTCCATCCCTAACCACCGGTATGCCTTTTTCTTTTATCCGTACGAGGATTCTGTAACCTATAGTATAACCTTGCTTAACGCGTATCTGTGTTTCGTAGTTTGTACTCGCCGACCATTGAACCATCGAATTCGAATTTCGAACTCGGCTACTACGCGTGCAGTTACTCTCCACATTATGCGACTATCAAAGTTGTAAACTCAAATTTTCCAACACCGGAATCTTATAAATAAAGTGGTTAAAGCCACCATGCTAACTCTTCAGTAAAACTCTAGGTTTAACTTTTGTTTTGGTTTAAATATGTCATAGGTCTTTGTAATATTTCAAAATTTAATATTTTTCTTATGCTTTAGTTTTTGTGAAATTGAGTCCTTCTATTATTTTTTATTTGAAATTATAAGTCCCTCTCTCTATGTTTAAAATTTGTTATCAATTTGATCATTAAAAACTATAAACATAAATGATTAAATATATATTATTCAATTAATGGTATTTTTGTTTATTTTTAAATATTAAAGGTTAGTGAACTAAAAGCTTTTTTTTAAATTGTAAGGTTTTCAATTAAAAAAATTAAATATAAGTTAGAAAGACAACAATATTTTCAAATAAAAAATAACTAAAATTCAAAAGATGAAATAAAATAGACTGAATTATAAATTTCAAAATAGTAAAGTGACCTTTGACATATTTAAACCTAAAATTGTGTGTGCTTGTTTTTTACCCGGTGTTTGCTTACTCCAAGGGGTTTTCTCATGTACTTGAGCTTTCCATTTTTGCAGAGCTTCGAAGCTTTGAATCCATGATGGATTTTCAAGCTCTTGTCAAGTTTGCATTGATAAGCTTTGATTCTCTTGCTTGGTGATTTTTTTTTCTTTTTCTTTTTCATTCTAGTCCCTCCCATGTGTTTATGGATTCCTTAATAAATTTTACCTTTGCTTTTCAGGCCTCTCTTTGCCTTGGGTTATCCTCTGTAAGTATTCCTAACATATTTTCTCATGGCATAATCAAAGTATTTATATATATATATATTTATGAAAATGGTTGATCGTGTTTTCCTTGCCTTGTCCACAGACGTGCTTCCGTTCAAGCAATCGAGGCTAATTCCAACCCTGAGACCAAGAGAGTGGTTACCTACTGGATTATCTTCTCATTGATTTGCCTGTTTGAACATGCTTTCATTGGAATCCTTCGATGGCTGCCGTTCTGGCCGTACATGAAGCTAATGATCATCTGCTGGACGACGATACCCCGTTTCGACGGGGCTCTTTACGTCTACGACCACTTTGTTCATCCATGTGTGTGTGTGTGGATTTGCCAACCATCATTAACTGGTTCAGGAAGCTGCAAGAGTTCTTTTTGAACTACGATTTTCTTGGTGAAGAAGCTCATGAATGTGTCCAGGCACATGGATCACCTGAAGCTAAAGAGGTTTACATTTATGTTTGAATGTGTCGGACACACATTTCAGTTCGGTCGGTTAATGTAGTTAAAATCGAATATGAATATCCCTACTTATGAGCATTCTATATGATCTAATATGGTTGTGTTTCACAATGTAGCCAAAGGGGACTGAGCCAAGCATATTGCAGAAAGACATAAAACCTGTCCAAGCAACAGAGAAAGGGGAAGTTGCTCCGGTGAACCCGGTAAAGTTCTGTAATCGTTTTTCTTCGGAAATGCGTCATCATATACGAGAACTTCCGAGCGAAAGAAGAATCTCTGTTTCAGGATGACTCAAAAACTTCGAATATGCATGAGAATTAGGCTTTTATGCATCGCCGAATTCTCCATTTCCTTCTACAAACTTTTGATTAGGAGCGCTGACTTGAATTACTTTTGCAGATTCAGGCAACCGGACCCGATGCCGTTAAGGCAGTGAATGATGCTATGACGCTTCCGGAAACCAGCGGAGAAGTGGGTTTTGAGCTTACCGAGATACCTTCGGATAAGCAAGTTCAGAAGGAGTGGACTTGTGCTATGTGTCGAGTAAAAGTCACAAGTGAGAGAATATTGAATATCCATCTCCAAGGAAGGAAACACATGAATGCATCTGAGAGGCTAACGAATGCAAAGAACCAGCCTTGCAAAGGCAATGTTGGTTCGGGTTCGGCCGTTGAACCTCGGAAACATGGCTCAATCAGTAATATCCAGGGAAGCCAAAAGAAGCAAAAACCTCCCAAAGGCCAAGTATCAGCTGCTTCTTCAGTGGCGCCTATGAACTCTGATCCTCCCAGCAATAATCCATCCACATGCGACAGGGCAGTGAATCCTAAACCCGACACAGGCGAATGTAATCTACCGAAAGAGGAATCGGAGAAGTCGTTACCGACAACTAATATGACCGGAAATCAAGTAAAATCGAGTGCAAATGTAGAAGGGCTGCAACAGGTTGGAAAGGAACATGGTGATACAAAAATCCCTCAATTTCGTTGCACCATATGCAACGTAACCTGCAGTCGATCGGAGGACTTGAACTGTCATCTCTGGGGAAGGAAGCACTTGGCCCAGATTCAGAAGCTAAATAATCTTCAGAAAAGTGAACGTACTTGAGTCGAGCTTCAAATATCCAGTCGTAAAACTTGTGTAACACGTCATCTAAATAAAAGTTCTTTTTCTACTTTAGGGGTTTCTTAGTTTTTGAAGTGTGATGTAGAAATTTATCATCCAGAAGTGGTCTTTATAATAGTTTAAAATGAAAATGCTTTATCCTTAATAAGGGCAGTGAGACCGAAAATGTGTCCGCAACCATAATTTAAATGCTTCAGCCTTACATACATGAAGAAAAGCTCACCAAACTATTGTTTTTCTGAAAACAGTACTAGTTCCAACATTAAGAAACATTATCTCCCCCTTCATAACAAGTTTCACCATTTGTTCCCATTTTCCTGAACATAGCAGACAGGAACTCCTGAAAGAACAATCCGACATCATGATTACAACTTCTGCGATGTCGACATCGCTAGGTAAATCCTTCCGTTATTGAGTCAGTCTTAGTCTGGGTGAATAAGTTAAAGCCAGCCTTCCCTGCAATTCAAGAGTTTCCAAGTCATAAAGTCCGGTAAAAATTTGGGGTTGGGGGTATCGGCGGATGGTGAGTTGAAGAACCAGGTTAGTGATAATGTATATATTACCGTAAAAGTTAAGGTCACCCGAGAAAGATGCCTTGCTGCCTGTAAACGAGAAAAACGGCAAGGGAACTGGTATGGGAACATTGTTGCCAACCTGAATATAATCAAAGCAACTCAATGATATGAACTTTAACAGGCAACGAAGCAATTATCTTTAGTCCTATGTGTTTCGTAACAGGTACTTTTATACGTTATCTACTTGCAGCTCTGAACAAATTTAGATATATCCTACTATATTTCACCTATAGTTTTACCTGCCCAGCCTCGATCCCTGTTGAGTGAATGATGTAAGCTCACGTGAATGAAGAGTGCTTGTGTAATGTCATACATGGGAGCAGGATTGTAGCTGATGGATATAGCTTGCATACCTGTCAAGTCTGTTAGGAAACTATTCTAGAAGTTGTTAGTTTGTTAAAGTTTGTTATGAATTTACTATAAGTAATTAGCTTAGGTGATGTATAATGCAAGCTTAATGAAAATACTTCTGATATTCTGTTTGATTCAAGCTTTGTTTTCTGCAATACTCAACATGGTATCTTTCGCCAAAGTCCTGGGAATTTTGGTTTCACGCTCCTAAACTGCCAACCTGGAACTGGCAAAACTGCCATCGCCATGGGCATCACAAAGTTCCTTGGCCTTGAAACCCCTTTCTCTGTGCTCTATGGCAGTGAAATCTTCTCTCTGGAAATGTCGAAAACAGAAGCTCTAATGCAAGCGTTTCGAAAGTCCATCGGCGTAAGAGTCAAGGAAGAAATCGAAGTGATCGAAGGCGAAGTTTTTGAAATCCAAATAGACGGTCCGACAGTTTCTGGGGCGGCATCAAAACTGGAAATTGACTCTTAAAACGACGGATATGGATACTGTTTATGATTTAGGGGAGAAGATGATCGAGGCATTAGGGAAAGAGAAAGTGCAGAGTGGGGATGTGAACTTCGACTGTTCGGCGACTGGATTCTCATTACAGGCGATGGGTTCGAGCCAAGTGGCGTTGGTGGCTCTGTTGCTCATATCGGAAGGGTTCGAGCACTATCGCTGCGATAGGAACCTCTCAATGGGGACTGTTACTTTCATGTTCGAGAACCCAAAACAAGATAAGATAGCGGTTTTTGAGTTGAAGCTAATTGATATTGATGGCGAGCACCTTGGAATTCCAGATGTTGAATACCAAGCTATTGTTAGGATGCCTTCATCTGAGTTTGCAAGGGTTTGTAAAGATCTTGCTAGCCTTGGTGATACTGTTGTTATCTCTGTAACCAAAGAAGGTGTTAAGTTTTCCACAGCTGGTGATATTGGGACTACAAATATTGTTCTCAGGCAAAACACCAGTGTAGATAAACCAGAAGAAGCGACAATCATAGAGATAAACAATCCGGTATTGTTGACGTTTGCATTGAGGTACATGAATTCATTTACAAAGGCTACCCTGTTGTCGAATACAATGTCAATCAGCCTGTCTTTAGAACTGCCTGTTGTGGTTGAGTACAAGATTGCTGAGATGGGTTATATCAGGTTTTACTTGGCACCTAAGATTGAAGATGAAATGGATGGATGAGACTAATCCATTAGCTAATCATGCAGTAGATAAGTTTAGAATAGATAAAAGAAGGTGAATAAGAAGAACGAAAGAATGCATCGCACTTCCGATTCAAGTCGAACGGAAGGAAGCATCGACACTTCCGATTCAAGTCGAACGGAGGAAAGCGTCGGCACTCCCGATTCAAGTCGAACGGAGGGAAGCATCGGCACTTCCGATTCAAGTCGAACGGAAGGAAGCATCAGCACTTCCGATTCAAGTTGAACGGAAGGATGTATCGCACTTTCGATTCGAGTGTTCATCTTTTCATCAAGACGGTTGAGAAAGTAGGGAGAATGTTGAGTGAATGATGTAAGCTCACGTGAATGAAGAGTGCTTGTGTAATGTCATACATGGGAGCAGGATTGTAGCTGATGGATATAGCTTGCATACCTGTCAAGTCTGTTAGGAAACTATTCTAGAAGTTGTTAGTTTGTTAAAGTTTGTTATGAATTTACTATAAGTAATTAGCTTAGGTGATGTATAATGCAAGCTTAATGAAAATACTTCTGATATTCTGTTTGATTCAAGCTTTGTTTTCTGCAATACTCAACAATCCCTGTCTGGAATTTCCTCGCTGCAGTACCGAAATTAGTGAATATAGAAGCACCATTACCATATCTGAAACAGAGCACAACTCACAGGTAAAACAAACATGAACATGTTAACTTAAAGAGGACCAAACGAGGGAGTCTGCTTCAGGATGTACTTGTTTCGATTAGCAATGTTTATCGCGTCGTCCAAGCTGTCAGCCTGAACATGGGGAATAAAAGAAGAAATAGTTGGCAACACTTGAGAAAGAAAAAGTATGATTAGTGAAGAAACAGGAAGTAACTCACCTTCATGCAAATAAGAACTGGGCCAAAGATTTCCTCCTGCACAGACCGAAATAGAGTAGTCAGGTATCTTCTATGAATGTTGAAGTCATTTAACCCACCCACTCTTGGTATTTTTATGGATCGCAATCTAAACAATGCATTACAAGTCATGAATTAATCTGCATATTTGTTGTTTAGCCTGTGAATGCAGAAGAATTCCGATGAAAAATAAATGAAAAAACATCAAGGATCCAAACAAATAGAAGAATGAATCGAACATTAAAAAGGGAATCATAATTGGTGTGATTAGCTCCCATCCTCCTAGATAGATTCAAGTTGACTCAGGCTCCAACTTTTTGCTGGAATTCCCAGCTTCTAGTCAGTGTTTTTGATACTTCTAATAATATGTTATACCAGTAGCCTTCAATAACCTGATCATGATGAGTGGCCAGAGCTCATCCTTGCATCGTCTGTGCTTGAAAGTTCTTAGTGTGTCATTGCCTGTAGATATCTAGATTACTCTTTCTTTTTGGCAATAAAAAAGGTGTATGGATGACAGATAAGATAAAAAGGAAGAAAGATCTGCACTACAAAAATAGGCAACCCTGTGATGGACCTGAGACCTTGTTACAGGTAGGCCTATGACAAATAACAGAGTTTATATTGTCCTCCTAGAATAGGGCATTTCAATATCAAAAAAAAGTTTAGGAATGATTACTAGTATTGTGCCAGTGGTAGTGCAGAAAATGTGGGAAATATCTGAAGCACACATTACCTCTTTGCTAATAACTGGACCAAGGTCCGCATCAGGTTCGATTCCAGCATTAACTTTAAGACCTTTGGCACGTTCTACCAGGTCATTCACCCTGGAAAATTCAGGATCCCCCTTAATCATAGCTTCAAAAAGTTACCAGCAATATTGGGGGGGGGGGGAACACAATACCAGGTTTCTGAGTCACCAACAAAGACTACTGTTCTAAGTGCCATGCACCTCTGCTCGGAAGCACAAAAACCAGCAGCAAGAATAGCATTTAGTGTAGCTTCCTTGTTTGAATCAGGCATGACAATGCCATGATTTTTAGCCCCCATGTTGGACTGAGAAGAATAATTATTAAGAAGGAAGTTTAGTTCAACTTTAGATAGTCAAAGATGTTGTTCAGCATCCAAATTCCAAACTATGATCAATCGGCAAGTTGGCCAACCTTACGTGAAGAAATTGCAAATTTTAAACTTAATTGATGCCAGACATGGTATTGGTAGCTTAACAGAAGTAATCCTGTCATTAGGAAATATAGTGTATTGCTTACCAATGTAAGTTAAGTGCACTTTACCTGTACACGTTTTCCTTTAGCTGAAGCTCTTCCATATATGTGCACGCCAGCCATTAGAAAATAAAATAAAAGCATTAAGAATATAACCAACATAATGAACTAACAAAGAAGAGAAGTGAGAAAGTAAAAGATAGTTGTGATTTCGAAAATGAAACATGGATATATTCTTTAATGCTTTCTTGGGGCGTAAAATTTGAAGATTTTGTCTTGTAATTTATCCTGGTGATCAAATTGATTAATTCTAAAAACTAGGGGATTTAATCAACAAATTTAATACATGACTAGAATAAAAGATTTTAAAGTTAATGCTTAAATTAAGGCATTGGACAAATTAAAAACAAAATCATGATCAAATTGGATTAAATGAAAATGCAAGGAAACAAATCATATACAAGTAATGACCAAAATGGAAGAAAACAAAGCAGGGTGCTAATTATATCAATTTTTTTAACCGCCACGTAGACACTTCCGTTAAGTGTTAATTGCAAGTAGTTATATTAAAACCGTTTAACTAGTTCATTGATGTAAATTTAAAAATAGTGGTCATTTCGTGACCCAACCTATAGTTATGTGGTCATTTATGTAGTTTACCCTATAAAATAATAGTAAAAAATAACTTATTCCGGGTATCTTGTAGAGAACTTTTGATAAGTTGTTTTTAATATGCTAGATGATCATGTATGAGATGGTTATGGGTTGGATTTGATTAAGCTTTTTGTAATATGGTTTAATTTGAA